AATTTTTTAGAATAGGTGTCTTTATTCAAAGTAGTTGTGTTCGATGAGTGATAAAACTTACATAGAACCTAGACGATGCATGATTTTAAAGATCTTAGTGTGAACACCGTATTTTGTCCGGGCATTTTTTTTAAAATTTTAATAATAAAAAATCAAAAAAATATAAAAAATATAAAAATGAAATTTAATCCCTTTTTAAGATTATATTTTCAAAAAATAATAATAATGATAATTTAACAAAATAAAAAAAAAGGGTTAAATCTTGAAAAGAAAATCTCTCCCAAATTATCCCAATCATTCAAAATATTCAAGAATCAACTTTTGAGAGTTAATTTTTGTTATCTTTTTCTTTCTCTCTTTAATCTGTTTTTTTTTAAAAAAAGAGAGAGGGAAATATTTTGATTTAACTCAAAATTAATTTCTTTTTCTCTTTTCTTTCTTCTTCCTTTTAATCTAATTCTTCAAGTTAAAAAAAAAAAAGAGAAGAAGGGATAGCAGGACGTACATGTTGGTAGGCTGGAGAGAGGAAATGAGAAAAGAAATAGACTGCCGTACACACACACACAGCTCTTTCGGCTTTGTAACAGAAACAGAGATGCAGAAACAGCAAAGATGAGAGACTAAATGCGGGCACAGAGACACAGAAACAAGCACGCATGCAAGGTAAAAAAAACAGCAAGTGCAGAGCATACACATGCAACATAGAAAAGAGAACACACACGCACGTACGCTTTCGGCTGGGCACAGAAGAAGCAAAACAAAGCAGAAAAACAGCAAGCAACCGGAACACGTACGCATATGCTGTCGGCTAGCAAAAAAACAGAACCAAGGACACATGCACGCACGCTGAAGACGGCACAACAGAGAAAGAAGATGGGACAGCACAGAAAAATGAGAAGAAATAGAGACAGAATGACACAGACAAAAAAAGAAAGAAAAACAGAGCAGAGACGCGGGTGCACAGAGAAGAACGCAGCAGAAAGGAAGAAGCGGAGCAGGAAAGCAGGAATTCACCTCTTCCATCCCCTATATAAGATCGAGCGTGAAACAGAGGCGGGACGGGTTTTTTCTGGACTGAAAAAAGAGAGAGAAACAGACAGACAGAAGAAACAGAAAATAGAGCACAAAAAACCGAAGGAGAAGAGAAGAGAAGAGTGACCGAGAAGGAGAAATAAGAGCGTGAAAATGGAGAAAGGGAGAGACCGAAAGACGTGAAATAGAGGCTGAGGGAGAAGGGGCTGTTCTGACCAGAGAAAAGGAGGGAAACCGAGAAGAGGCGAGGAGTGTTTCTGGCAAAAAAAAAACAGAGGCTGAAACGTGAGGGAGAGAACTCAAAGCTGAACAAGAAAGCAGAGGCGACGGAAAAACACCGAAAAGAAAGCAAAGGCCGAGAGAAAGAAGAAACGAAGAGAGGAGGGGAATACGTCATTCGGTATAGTCATCTTTCTTCTTCCTCTTAATGATCGCTGGTTTATTATTGAGTGAACAGAATGTTATGCGTATGATTTGCCTTGCTTTCTTGCTTTTGAATTTGAAAGGCACACGTTCGATTCAAATTTATTTTTCATGTTTAGATACCTGTCCCACACATTTTTTTTAGTTCTCAAATGATTTCATTGCAATTGTCATATTTTTTTTTAAGAAAAGAGAGCTTGAAAAAGAAAAATAAAGAAATTGTAAATAATAATTTTTGCTTCCTATCATAGTTAAGCTAAATTTGATTATTAGGCACAATTTCACTTCAAATAGAGAATTAGTGTAATTATTAAGCAAGGTCTTTAAGTGTGTATATTAACATGTATGAGCATTATTTCCTTATCTCCATTAGTGCTAAGGTCCTTTACTTGTCATTAATATTGCTACACTCATATCATATGGCATTCTCCATCACGATTACATGTACAATTTCATTTATTATGACAAGCCTATTTTATAAAAGGCAGAAGGGAGAGAATTCGATTCTTACCCAGTTTTAAAAATGAAATGAATAAGAGAAAATTTCATCTCTAATCATTTACTTGTCGTGTGAGATTTTAAGAATTTCTGTAAACATTTAAAGTGGTCTCATACCGTGTAAATCAATAAGATTTTGTAGGTATAGAGATCTAATTCATATGCATAATCAATGGTTTCAATGATCAACCGTTAAAACTAACTATCTTTTTATAATCTAAATAACCCATTTAGGTTCCATGTGAGATTTTAAGAATCTTCGTAAGGACTTAAATTAATCACATTATCGTGTGGGATAATGAGTCCTCACGGATATAGTGATTCTCATTTTTTTATAATCATATAATACACAATTTAAAAATTAATTAATCAAATTAATGCATTTAACTTGTAATCATATTTACTAATTATATCTTTTAGTCATGTGAGATTTTTGAAATCTCCGTGGGCTTCTGAAATCATCGTATTATCGTGTGAGTCAATAAGACTCTGCAGATATAACGATTAAGTTTTTAAAATATATATATAAATTAAATATTATATTAATTAAATTAAAGACGTGTTTAAATTTAATTCCTTTATCGTGTGAGATTTTAGAATCTCTGTAGATATTTAGGATAATCATATTACCGTATAAGTCAATAAGGCTTTTGCAGGTATGATGATTAAAATTCTTTAAAAACATGTATCTACATGCTAAAAAATTATTATTAACACTTAAAATGTACATAAGAATATAAATAAATAAATTAAATTGCCAAACTCATTTATCGTGTGAGATTTCAGAATCTCCGCAGATATTTAGAGCAATTGCATTACCGCATGAATCAATAAGGTTCTGCAGGTACTGTGATTAAAATGCTCAATCATAAAACATAAAGAAAAATAATTTTAAATCCTTTCCTTTTTTTAAAAAATTCAAAAATGAAGAAAATAATTAAAATTAAATTACCTTTTGCAATTTAAAACACACATATCAAAATTTCAGAAATTGTTTTATTTGTAAAATGGTGAATTATTTCTAATTAATTTCTCTTCAAAAATATTTTCACCAACAAATTTTTGAGCTCGAACTATGTGGACTTTGATCCCCATCACAGGGTACGTAGGCCTCAGAGTCAGATTCTGAGTCAAGTCCGTCCTCCCTTGTAAATAAATAAACATTTCTCACTTAATTCTTATCATTTTTATATCAAACACATGAATATAAAAGGGATAATTAAAATAGTTATAAAACTATATTAATGGAGCGCAACAAACTTCAGGTAACCGTTCTGACGAACGGGTGTTGTGGGGTGCCTAACACCTTCCCCACACTCAACCGACTCCCGAACCCGTTCTCTGATTTCGCAGACCACCCTTATCTTCCATTAACCGATTTCCCGAGATTTACCTCAAAATCTTGGTGGCGACTCCTCGTTCGATCCGGTTCCCGTCCGCGTCGCATTTTTTCGGGTGCGACACTTAGTATTCCAACAAAGATTAGCAACTTCTAAAATGCCAATAAACTTAATTGTTGTGCTATGGTAGATTGGTGGTAGCCAATATATTTTGAAAATCTCTTCATCCAGCCAATTTCTCTTATTGTCCCTAATGAGGCTTTCACAAGTGGTAGCACCATTAATGTTGATTGAGCTATCAATGTTTATTCTAACACATCCAAATCATTTCTTGAACATCTTTTGCAGCTAGTTGATTTTGGATTCAAACCCTATGTTGTCGATTATTTGTTGGGTACAAGATAAGGCAATATTGCCCATCATCTTTAAATTAAATCCTCTTGCATCCAGCTTTCCACATGTTCTGGGAGGCATGGACAAGGGTTCAGATTCTCTCACAATCCCCTTTCTCTTTTTCTTATCATCATCTCATCTACACCCTTAAATAATAAAATGAACTGTTCATATTTAATTATTTTTTACCAATAAATTTAATTGCTTTATAAAATAATTGTCATATTAAAAATAAATGAACTTAAACAGTTAAAATTTTACCTGCACAGATCAATATTGTATATCATAATTAATTTTTAAAATATTTTTTATATATTCATTTTATTGCAGCTATGCCTTATCTAGGTTAAATTTTAGTATTTTAAAATTATTTGTTTATTTTATTGAAAGGCACTTGGTCCTATTGGTTAGAGAATTAAATCAACTTATCCTATAATTTTAAGTTTGAGTTTGGAGATATATAATCATGTTAAATAAATATGATAAAAGCATTTTTAAAATATATGTAAGGTTATCATTAATAATAACAATTTTACATAGCAAGTATTGATGTTAGTGTAGGCATTTCTTATCTAATATAAGAGTGGATATGAAATGAAGGGAAAGAGTTAAAAAAGGGCCGCTCAATGCCACAGAGGGGAGAGGATGCGCGATCTGCTTCCCATAGGCAAATACCTGAACTTTTAAATTAAAATTCTTTCAACAATTATATTCCTCCCATTCCTATACATAAAATATTTTAAAAAAAATTATTTTATCTTTAAATATAATAAGTAACAATAACATTTTAAATAATTAAATAATTTTTATCTTTATCTTAAAAAATAAAATAGATCATTAATTATATATTTTTTCTATCACCATCATGATATTAATTATAATATTATTAGGAATAAAAATAAAAAATTATTATATTTTTATATGAATTTAACTAAATAACAAATCTTTATTGATATGTAAAATTTAATTAAAAATATCTTATATATAAAAACAGAGAAGCACATCGGTACATACTTACTTCTATTAAAAAAATGAAATAAAAATATAATTACCAAATATGATGTAAAATGATGACCATAACATGATATGTTATAAAAAAAATTGAACATCACACATGTGTATTCGTAATTCTGTCTCATTCTCACAGTCATTTGACGCAAGTGTAACAATTAATTAACTCATTTTTCTCTTTAGATACTCGCTTTTACTTATTATTGAATAAAATTATATGTACATAGAATAAATAAGTCTGAGCAGACCCATGGCTGACTTGGTCTTCTCATGATCTTTCTATATGAGGTCTGTACTTTCACGTTGCATTGATTGTCTGCCTATCAATCAAAGTCTCTCTCTCTCCCTCTCTCTCTCTCTCTCTCTCTCTGCGCGCAAGGCAGCTTCTTCTTCTTCTTCTTTAGTTTAAAGATCTGATCTCCCAAGCTTGTCCAAGTGATCTGAAAAGCTATTCATATATTAGCTATGAAGCCACCAAAGTTACGTTATAGCAGTATCATGAAGATAATTACTTTCCCTCATCATCACCTCTTTCTCCTGATGATCTCTCTTTTCTGGGCTTCTTCTGCATTTGGAGCCACCAAGATACATCCATCTGAAAGTATGTGCGTGCGTGCGTGCGTGTATTACTACTTCGTTTTATTCATTAGTACTTATCTTTCTTTTATCTGTATATATGTCTATATATTCTCCATAATCTCTGATTGCTTTGCTCTTTATTATCAGTGGAAGCTCTGAAAGACATAGCTAAGACACTTGGGAAGACAGACTGGAACTTCAGCATAGATCCATGCGATACGCCATCTGCAGTCCAGAGCAGCTGGTTTACGCCAAACCCAGTCGATAAAGAAAGTCAAAACGCTGTCGTCTGCAATTGCACCCTTGCCAATGACAGCTTCTGTCATGTTGTCAACATGTATCTCTCTCTCTCTCTCTCTCTCTCTCTCTCTCTCTCTCTCTCTCTCTCTCTCTCTGTCTCAATCTTTCTTTCTCTGTCTATATAATTGCATTAATTGTATGTCTGCTACTCTGCTTTGAAGAAATTTCTATCTTTATAATCCTCATCTTTATGCCTTTTTTTTTTCCCTCTTGTTTTCAATTTAAATAATAAACTTCTCCAATTATATATAAAAGTTACTTTTAACTATTTTATTAAAATTATAAAGAGATAATTAAATAATTTATACTATTTAAAATAATATTTTTAAAATTTATTTATAAAAAAATTAATATGCAGACCATTTTAGTTTTTCATAATTTTAAATGAGATCTTTATAGTTGATTTGTTTAGGTTAATCGATGAAATATATTGATTCTTATGATTTAAAATTCTTAAATTCTTTCTTTTTTTGTTAAAAAATAAATTTATCCACTTTTATATTTTTATTAAAAGATTATATAATTTTAGAATTAATTACATAATTTTTATAAATTGAAATTTATATAATTGAGTTATGTTTTCTCAATAATTTTTATATATGTTGAATTTTCATAAAAATTAAGAAAAGTGAAACAACGTCTTAAATCAAATTTTCTTTTTACTTTTTCAGCTAAAAATATTAAATTAAATTTTTATAAGTTTTAAAATCATTTTTATTTCAACAAAAATTAATCATTCATTAATAATTTTAATCTACAAAGATTAATATATTTAATTGATCAAATTTAAAGAATTTTATTAAAATAAAATAAACCACAAGGCCCTGATTTAAAATTGATAAAAACTAAAAGGACTTGCATTTTTTATTAAAAACATTATCTTTGAGATATTTTCTTCACATAAAATGAAAATAAATTAATTAATAATACTTTTTCTGTTAAAAAATGTAAGGTATTTTTTGAGAAATTATATGTTAAAAAATATAAGACATTTTTAATCTTTTGAGATGTAATTATTGTCTTTTTTTTAAAAGTGCTCCTATTGATAGTAATTTTATTTATTATCGGGTATTTAATAGAGATAAATATAAAAAGATAGAGTTAGTTTAAAAATAAATAATTATTTTATTGAGAGTAAGACTAAGTTAAAAATAATTTATATTTTTTAAGGAAAGGAGTATATTTTTTTTATAAAAATATCAATGGCTTATGTACAAGACAATGAGTTTGCCGCGTACGTCCTCCTCCTCCTCCTTATCATTATTATTTGCGGGAATACTATTCCATTCAAAACAACACAGACCAAAACAATAAACGGTCTATGAACAAAAGTGGCAAAGTGGCACAAAACACAACACGCGTGAAAGGAAGAAAGAACAGATTAGGAGATCCATTACCGAATTTGGTGAATGATTTCTGATTCATTTTCTCAATCTTCGTTCTTCGATGGTGGCCGAACACAGAACTTTGAAGAAACAAAGTCTCCCGGGCAAACTCCCGCCAGAACTCGTCAGATTATCTTACCTTTCCATAATGTAAGTAGCACAAAATCTCCAAAACCACATCGACTCACAGTGAATTTGTTTTCATTTGCACTAACTCTGAATTTCCTTCACTTTGGTACAGCGACCTGAGCCGCAACTACCTTAGCGGTTCAATCCCTTCTAGTTGGGCCTACCTTAAACTTGTGCACATGTATTCTCTCCACTTTTCTTCGTTTTCCCTCTATAAGCATATGATTAATGACTCTGACTTGTTGGTTTTAGTTTCCTCTGTTATTTGCCAGTTGTTTTATGAAATATGAATGTAATTTTTGCTTCTTTTGTTAGTTCTCTTCTTGGTAACCGACTAACGGGTAGAATCCCAGTGGAGCTTACGAAGATCACTACTCTGCAGCGTTTGTGAGTTTTTGGATATCCGCTTCTTTGAAGAATTAGCCCCATTTCAATTTTACGGATACTTTTAGTTGAACTTTAGCTTGAAATTGATAGGGTCCTCGAGTTCAATCAATTTTATGGAAATCTTCCTCCTGAGCTTGGCAATCTTCGCTATATTGAAGGACTGTAAGTGCTTCATTTGATTTGCCATTCGTTTCTCACACCATTTCCTGTTCATCTTGGATTCTTTTCTCTGTTGCCCTTTTCTTTTTCTTTTTCTTTTTCTCGAGTTGTGTCTTATTGTTTTTCTCGGTGGAAGTGTTAAATGACAATGCTTATTGATTGATCTCTTAGTTCGTAATCATTCCTTATGCTCACAATTTCTGGTTGCTTTAGGCTTCTTACCTCCAACAACTTCACTGGAGAAATACCTTCAACTTTCGCAAACCTCACTACGTTGACGGATATGTAAGCTTCCTTGTTATTTGAAAGAAATATATTTTCCTTCTATTATGTTGACGTATATTTTTGTTGAGAATAACTTTTAGATTACTCCATTGTCTTGTTAAAATCCAGTTTGCTCTCTTGTGGTTTAAAGGAATTAGGATCCTCTTGATTTCTCAAGGAATTGAGAATTTTAATTCCTTAAAAATTAAGAAGACCCAAATGTGGACTGAAGATTGATGTTCAACTCTGAGTAGTTAGCCACCATGTGGTATCTCAGTTTATAATTCTAAACTTATCAGTTGCCTGCATGTTAAAATGATAGACAGTTTTATTATTATGTTTAACTTATACTATGAACCACTTACAAAGGAGTTGAATAGCATGACTTAAATTGTAGGGGCAAACTATTTACGAAGAAAACCACATAACTATTTTTTTTAATTTATCTGAATGAAAACTAATGTATTGTGGCTTAACTTCAATTGATTCAGTCGACTAGGTGACAATCAATTCTCTGGAAAGATGCCTAGCTTTATTCAGAACTGGAAAAGTCTTGAGACAATGTGAGAATTTTTTCATTTTTTGGGCAATCAGTAATTATTTCAGTTGTTTTCTATTGTTGACTATATGTTGCATCTTGATCTGAAGCTATGGTATTCCCATTTTGACAGAGTGGCTCAAGGGAGTGGTTTGAGTGGACCCATTTCTGGAATTTCATTTCCGGAAAACTTAAAACTGTTGTAAGTTTCATATCGTGACTAGTGTTTTGAAAAAAATTAGCTCTATTGCTTTGTTTACACGTACTTCAACTCTATATGCAGGACGATAAGTGACTTGAATGGACCTGATTCAACTTTTCCCGCACTCAATAATTTGACAAAATTGAAATCATTGTCAGTTACATGCTTCGTTCATTATTCTATATACTAATTATTATTTTTTTAAAATCATTGCCTTGATGAGGAATTCTTTTGAAGGGAAAGAAGATTAATTGATGCCTTGGCTGTTGCAAAATTTTAGATGTCTGTTTGTTTTACAGGATATTGAGGAGTTGCAATATCATTGGAAAGATACCTCCCTCTCTTGGGAGCATGGGCAATTTAAAAATCTTGTGAGTTCTTTGTCACTACTATACCATCTGTTAGGTTGCTTCTTATCAGGATATTTTCTTCTTTTATTCTCCTTGAAAACTTCAAATTTCTTGCATTATGTATTCATTTATGGTGGATATAACATCAATATACTTTTGTGTCCATCTAATTTAGGAACCAACAACTTTACATGCTTTCTTTTTCTTACCTAATTTTTGGACGAAACTTTGTTTTCAGAGACCTGAGCTTTAACAAATTGCAAGGAAAAATTCCAGATACCTTTTCTCACCTCTCACAAACGGATGACATGTAAGAAATTTCTTTTGGTTTTTGACCCACACGCACACTCACCACAAGGTGAGGGCGGACATTACGGGGAGCGGGGAGGTCCTATATATAATAATGAAAAGAAAATAAACATCCCATTCATTACCATAATGAGGAGGTGTATGACAGTAACGCGTCATGGTAGGTACCGACATCAATGAATCATCAACATCATAAATATCAATGTATTAATAAAATCTATAGGAAACTACACTATTTATCATCCATAAATAGTGTGGCTCACTTCAAACTCCATACAATGCATGTGCCCCGCAAATAGTTTCAGAAATTTTCTTTGCAAAACTTATAATTTAAGGTTTTTGACGGTTAAAGGCATCAATATCATTGATCAGTGAGGACATCTATGGGTTAAACCAAGATATCCATGCAGTCAAACTAGCTAAGTTGATGGATGGATCCGAGGGACGATATGAATTTATTGTATTGTTTCTTGCAAAATATGAAAGCAGGGTGAAATTAATGACGTTGAGTTTATCATTTTGATGAGTTATGAATTGATTTATGTTATTGCATTTACGCAGGTATTTAACTGGAAACTTTCTCGATGGACCTGTGCCTGCGTTGAACAAAGTTGAATACGTGTGAGTTCTCTTCCAAATTGCAGTCACTTGCTTCCTTAATCAAAAGTTTAGCAAGTGGAAAATATTAAATGCATTATTTGTTTGGATTATGTGCATTTTGTTATTGAATTAGGAAATATCAGTAAAAATGATTATTATATCCGATTATAACCTGTGGCATATGGTGCTTGACATCCTACTTTGGTTAATCTTGGGAGGTTCTATTGACAAAAATGAAATATAATTTATGTGCATGTAAACATTAATCAGAGAGCAGAATTTTCTTGTCATATTATTCTTTGCAATATGCCTATATAAAGAGAGATGATGCTATGAATAATGACAAAGTGATAATGCAAAAACTCAATAGTCTTGTGGTCCATAAGCTCTTTAACATTTTCATAGTGACTAATGGTGTTAATTATCTCTCTCAATTGAGTATTGAATAGTCATATTTTATCCCTTGTCTAAATTTGTACTCCCTTTGTCTCAAAATATGAGACAATTTGAGACAAGATTAGCATACTAAAAAATCTCAATAATGACACTTTTCAAACTTACGTTTTCAAAGCAAAAGTATAAACTTTCAAAAATACCTTTCATTTAATATATATAACTTTAAATCTACAATCATTTCAATTTTCTCTTCACTTGAAGGGTAATATTTGTAAAGCATGAAACCTTATTTTTGTCAACAAATGGTCTTCCTTCTCAATACTTTGCAATTGACTGTCTTGCTCTAATCCAAATAATTGGTCCAACTGAGCTTATGACTAGTGATCTGAGTCACCACTGATACCCTGTCAGCTGCCACCATTTCATTGTTTTTAGCCTTCAGATTAAATTAGTAATTAAGCTAGGTGTGAAACAAGAGTTTCAAAGGGGACTAGCTGCAAAATAGATGTGAAACAGTGGAAGCAGCAACGAAAAACACACAAGAATGGCTAAGCAAGAATACCCACACCTGGGAAGTGATGGAATGTGGCCAGAAAATAGAGTGTGTTGAATGCCTTGAGGCAGGTGGTGATGGTCACTAGTCAACTTTTAAGGATGACTTAAATGATGAAAATAGAAAGGAGAAAGGAGCAAAGGCACAATTTTGATACCATGTAAAAAGTAATCAGACAGTAGAATTTTCTTGCATATGATTCCTTACAATAGGTCTATATGTACAACTACAAGAGAGCTGATCTTGTGAAAATGCTGATGACAACGAATCCCTATAATTATGCCTAGAGATTTGAATCTATATCAACTACTACATGTGAAGATATTCTCAATTATACGTATATGAATATATTTATCATCATAGGCATGTAACAATCCTGAGAAGTAGTCTAGAATAACTATGAAGTTGTTTGCAGAGCAAGGTTTATTTTAATTTCTCATCTCTATTGAGAGAGTTTATCAATTACCTGAGTTCTTTGAAGTCCTACATCAAAATTATTTATTAGCTCTCTTCTCTTAATATTTTTCAACTTCATAAGATAATCCCTTCTGCTCTACCTCATGTATGATTTACTAATCATTGTGTCTAGTTTCATGCTTTATCAGGGAATTACATCATTCACGATATATTATTATTTTAGCTTGGCCCTTCTCATTCCATTACCTTTTAATTATGGAATTGTTTTTTGGACCAACTACCTTTCTGTTGGCAGATGGTATTTTCTCTATTCAGTAGTTTATAAGCAGGGAAATCATTTTGAAAGTGTTCAGCACATTGAGCTTAATTGTGTGTGTGTGTATTAGATTATATTTATTCAGTAATTTCTTTTCGAGTTAACAAAGTGTTTCATAAAATCTCTGTCAAATTCTTAGATTCTTAATCATATTTTATACCTTGTGCATAGGGATCTTTCATACAACAACTTTTCCAGCAGAGACACTGGGGGGAGGTGTGATCGATCAAATGTGTAAGAATTTTTTGCATTTGTGGTGATTGTATGCAATTTTTAAGAAGCTATTTGGGGCTTATTCATCTTTTATATTCCTTAGGAACCTGTTTGGAGACTCTTTGACGGTCAATGACTCGTAAGTTTTACATTAGGTCTTAATTTGTCTCTTTAAAGCATATACCTTGTTCATTTCCTCTCAATCTCTTTTGAAACTTACAGTGTTTATTATGTGATTATGCTGACTTGTTCTGCTTCCCACTTTCTTCCAGAGGATCTGTTACTTGTATGAGAAGCCCTTGTTCTAAAAGTAAGTTGATTTGACATTCATTTCCTATAGACTGTCAATGTGATTTAACTTATAAACCTTCTCTTTCTCGAGTTACCAAGTGGAAGAAAGAACTGTCCTGCAACTAATGCATACTTGAATAGCAAAATGTCATGGGGCCATTACTCTTTTTTCAAAAGGTTAATTCAATGAAGCGTGTAATGCACCCGCTTATATAGCCAGGATTTCTTCTCAAGTCCCTTCGACGCGGGACGTAACCACTCCTCTAGCCAATCCATGATGCCCCCATCACGGGTGGCCTCCTAAAGGGGCTTACCAGTCGGGCAAACTTGGGTTTAGCTTTGATACCACTTTGTTACGGAGCTACTACTCTTTCCCCTAAATGTCAACCCAGTGGAGTGTGCAGCACACCTGTTTATATAATTAGAACCCTCTCCAAGTCCTTCCAATATGGGACATAACAAAAAGCTTATCATAGGATCCTAAAACCTTATTCTGTTGCACCTTAAAATGAGGATACTGGGATAGGAGCAGGACAAGTTAGTCTTTTGTTCACGAGCATGTTCATGTTCTTCTCTTCACTTTAATTAAATAAAAAAAGAATCAATGTATTTGGGGAGAAGTTGGATGTGATACACAAAAGAGAGCCATCTCCATTAATAATCAGGATTTTATATTGATTTTGATCTTACTGCTCAAGTAGTTTATCTGCTGATCCCACGTTTGTATAGAAGTTGCAAGTATCTTCTGAGTTGCACAAATGCGGCGCGCTTCAATGATTTAATTAGCAAAAATAATATTTGAGATCTCAACTGATTCTAAGACCACTAGCTTCATGCATAGGCGGACCTACTTGTTAGTGAGAAGGGGCAATTGCCCCCTTTACATTTGCAAAACTATATGTTAGATATGTAAATCTTGATCTTTTGACCCTACTGGCTTTTAATATTTTGACTCCATTAGGTCCAACCCAAATCTATATAGGTATTAGCCCCACCGACTTAGAGTCCTTAGTTCATTAGTGGTTTCATATCAAAGGAGTATACTACATCCACGCTCACATTTGTTTTCGGGTTTCTATATGAAAATACTTCAAATTAGAACGAATAATTTATTATTGTGTTGGTTTCTTCTTGATTCTTATTGAATGTTTCTGATTCTTCTTGAGCCAGCCTGGTACTCTGTCAATATAAATTGTGGTGGAAAAGCTGGCACCTTTGAAGGTAAAATGTATGATGGTGATTTGGATCTAGCTTCACGAGGATTTGCAAAAAGTGGAACAAACTGGGCAATTAGCAATACTGGTCACTTTATAGATGCAAGACGAAAGTATACCTACATCGCAGAAAGCAATAGTCTCCCTTTGCCCAATGTTGAACTGTATGGGAATGCACGTCTTTCCCCTATTTCTCTGACCTATTATGTATTTTGCCTGGGAAATGGACCGTACACAGTGAGTCTTCATTTTGTGGAGATAGTGTTCACTGATGATCAAACATATAGAAGCCTTGGAAGGCGTGTATTTGATGTCTACATTCAGGTAATTAATGGTTTCATCATTTGTTTATTTTTGTCAACCAGATGTTTGATATGGAACAAAAGCCTTTTTCCGGGTAATCATTGTATGTATATAAAAGGAAAACCTCAATCCCTATTTATACTATTATTACACGAAGTTTGAAGAATGAGCTACATTGCTCATGGCTTCTAAATTGTAGCTTGCTATTAATTTTATATTGTATGTTGATATAATACCTTTTACTTTTGATGCACGAGGAGAAACTCTCCTTAATCTGCATGGCTTTACTAAATTCTTTATACCTTAATAGAGGAACTCTTTTCTAAAACTGCTTAACAAGTATAGAACCAATTTCTACTATATTTTCTGAAGAATGTTCAGAATTTGTATTTAAAAAGATAACAATCCTGAAGTAATTTGGATTGGATTGGAATCTTGTAGGGAAAGCGAATGCTGAAGGATTTCAATATTGTAAATGAAGCAGGGGGAGCTGGTAAGCTAATTGTAAGAAATTTTACTGTAAATGTGACTAGTGGCACCTTAGAGATTCGCTTCTCTTGGGCTGGGAAAGGGACAACTGCTATACCGGAAAAGTCAGTTTATGGTCCTTTAATTTCAGCTATATCTGTAACTTCTGGTGTGTTCTTTCTCTCTGTAAAATCCTGTTCCTTTTTTTTTTTTTTTCCTTAGCAACTTGTTCGTATTATCTGACACGTGTAGCTCTTGTACAATTATCAAGCAGACTTTAAACCCCCAAGAAGCATGCCTGGAGCAGTTGTGGCTGCAATTGTGGCTGCAGGAGTGAGTATTGTCATCCTGATACTGGGCATGCTCTGGTGGAGAGGTATCCTAGGAAAAAGAAGTTCGTTAGCAATAGGTGATGACAAAGAAAACACTACTTTATCCTGCAATATTTTCCATAGATAATGGATGGAATCAATCCATTGAAGACTAATTAATGCCCAATCTCCCGACAGTGTTCATAATCTCATATTTGTTTGCTTATACTCACAGAGCTAAAGAGCTTAGATCTACAAACTGGTTCGTTTACCTTGCGCCAAATCAAAGCAGCAACAAATAACTTCGATGCATCTAATAAGATTGGAGAAGGAGGATTTGGTTCTGTTTACAAGGTATCCTGAACAAAATGACATCTTCACTTTATTATTTGGAATATTCTATCAGTGCTTGCTGACATATCTCTTTCACATACAATGCTCTCCAAAATGCAGGGCTTTCTATCAGATGGCACAATGATAGCAGTGAAGCAGCTTTCTTCTAAATCAAAACAAGGAAACCGTGAGTTTATAAATGAGATAGGCATGATCTCTGCTTTGCAACACCCTTGTCTTGTTAAGCTCCATGGTTGTTGTGCTGAGGGGGATCAGTTGTTGCTGGTGTATGAATACATGGAAAACAACAGCCTTGCTCGTGCCTTGTTTGGTAAATTATATATATATATATATATATATATTCACACACACCCACACCCACACCCACACACATTATGTCTGTGTCTATGTGACTAAAGTTGTGTCGTTTATTCGTTTTTGAATTTCTTGTACATTCTCAAATGAAGGACCAGAAGAATGCCGTTTAAAATTGGATTGGCCAACAAGACAGAAGATTTGTGTTGGTATTGCCAGAGGTTTGGCTTTCCTCCATGAAGAATCAAGACTAAAGATTGTTCACCGGGACATCAAGGCCACTAATGTGCTACTTGACAAAGACCTGAATGCAAAAATTTCTGATTTTGGACTCGCGAAGCTTGATGAAGAGGAAAATACCCACATAAGCACTCGAATAGCTGGGACCTAGTAAGTTTCTTTAGTGAGTTTTTTCCTTGAAATAAATATTTTTCCCATAAGAATCCACGTAAGGCTGTCAATGCAATTTTTTTTTGTTGCTGTAACGGTTTTATTTCAATTTTACAGTGGATATATGGCACCTGAATATGCAATGCATGGTTATTTGACTGACAAAGCAGATGTCTATAGTTTTGGAATTGTTGCCTTGGAAATTGTAAGTGGAAGGAGTAACACTTATCGCAGACAAAAGGAAGACTGTTTCAATCTTCTTAATTGGGTAATTTTTTATATCTTCATGCTTTCCGGCATTCATGTGAATTTTATTATCCTTCATAACATCTACCTAGGATTTGTGCTTCTCTTGAAGAACAAAACATTTAACCATTACAACAATTTTGTCTAAACTGCTATAATTCCCTAAATGAAGGCATCTTACTGACATCAATACCTGCTCAATGAAATTATAGTCTCTGGCTGTTTGACCAATGCCTTGCACAAATATCATTATTTTGGACATTTTCTCTGACCAGGCACATGTTTTGAAAGAGAATGACTATTTAATGGAGCTCGTTGATCCAAGGTTGGGTTCAGATTTTAACAGGGAAGAGGTAATGGTGATGATCAATGTGGCTCTTCTATGCACTAATCCCTCTTCATCATTGAGGCCCCCCATGTCTTCTGTCCTAAGCATGCTTGAAGGCAGGACTGTAGTTGCCGAGTTCATTTCCGATCAAAGTGTGGAAACAAGCAAGATGAAGTTAGAGACAACGAGACAATATTACCGACAGATAGAAGAAAATCAGACAAATGATGAGACTGAAACTCATTCTCAGAGTCTGTTAGGAATGTCCACTTCTTCATCCACATCAGCTAGAGATCTCTATCCTGTTCGCCTAGATTCTTCCTACTTGGAGAAAAGAAAGTCTGACAGGATAGGCTAACTGCCTGTTTGGATTTTAATTTATATCTGACAAAAGTACATTTGAGAAATTCAATTATTTATTGGATTTGATAAAAGTACATCCTAAATGTAGTTTGAATGTACTTTTAAAAGTTATCCAAATAGGTCCTAAAACTCGAATTTTATAATTTGGATCTAGAACTTGCCTGTATCTCCGTAGAGCATAAATGTGCAAAATTATCATCAATATGCAATAGGTTTCAACATAAGATAAAAATAAGTTTGTGTTCAAATTACCATGTATAAATTTATATGAATTTTTGCCCAATATTTATGATATTCACACATACACAATTTTATATACTATTGACGTTTACCAAATTTTTAAATTTCTTAAAGTATAAATTTTCCAATTTTTATATTATGTTGTGAAATAGTTTATATCTTTGTCTTTATTTACCCTCTCCTCTCATCATATGCCTGTTTTCTGATCATGGTAGACCCACCGGTGGAAGATACAAACACAGCATCTGCTTTGCATCATGCTTGTTGAGGATCAAAAAAAACATTCGTGCTACATAATTCAGTTGCACAATTACTATTGAGTCGAGTGACAAGAATTTTCTATTACGGCTTCAAATTGTAGGAGTGATACAAGGTCAAGAACTACTGAAGTATGTATTGCTTCTAGATTAAATGATATATAAGGACGATATTTGCGACGAATTAATTATGGAAGATCGATAGGTTGTGGGAAACTTTAATATGAATTAGTGGCTTGACGCACGCACACACTACATAAAGACCAAATCTTGCTTTCGCGGTTCCTTTCTTCAATTTAAGTAGGAATACTCCTAAAGTTGGTGTGGAATGAGTGTGCTCAACTTTTTTCTTTTTATTACTTTATTACCTATTATTCATGAGCCAAACCGAGTAGGATCACATTGATAACAAAACTCTTCTAACAAGTATTTAATACAATTACATATATAAGACTTCAACTCAAAATCATTAGTTAAGCTAACACAATTTCTTACCCATTTAACTACATATTCATTGATTGCTCATAACTTCATATCAAGTAATTGTGTAAAAGTTAGAGGCTAATGGCTTTTTTATTTGGAAGTTATGTTAGCTCAAGGCAACAACTTTTAATTTTTAGAATTGAGTTGGGTATCATTACCGATGGAGAGTTGGATCTAGTAAAATAGGATAGTCCTTCAAAACATGGCTTTGATTTTTATTAGAAATGAAAATTAGAATCAGCCTTTGATAGGTTCAAATTAGAATCAGCCTTTGATAGGTTCAAATCAGCCTTTGATTTTTCAAGCCTAACTCTACAAGCCTAAAGTCATTTTATCCTTTTTTTTCAAATGAATAAATATTAAATATTAATTTATAAGCTACACCCTTGATTTCAAAATATTTCTTTAGAGCATTAGTACTTTTATCTTAGACAAATATTTTACTGTTTTATTAGATTTATTTTTGGAGAATGATAAAAAAATCCCTAAAATATATAAATGATAAATAAGTATCACAAAATGCAATAATTATTGTGTGGTTGCTAGGAATTTGTCTAACATTTTGATTTTTGTAAAATGACATATTTACATGCTCAACTATTAAAAAATAGTGAGAAGTTAAGATTGGAAAATGATTATTTTGTTTGACACTAAAGCAGAGTAACAAATGACAAATGCCACTCTGTAGATTTATTTTCAATGAAACACAACTACTAAAAATTAGTGATAAATTAAGATTCAAAAATAACTATTTTGTTTAGGGAAATAACTAAAATGGAGTACCAAAATGTTTTAAAGTTTGGCTATCTTTCTTTTATTTGTTAGAAGAGTTAAAAAAAATCCTTAAAAAATTATAAATAGGTCCCATATAATAGACTTAATTGCCATTAAGCCTCACAAAATTAAGAAATTATAATCAAGTCCATTGAAACTTGAGTATAATTAGTGATTAGAATGCAAAGACAACTGCAACTTTAAAATTTACAAGTAAAAATTTGTAATTCACAAGTCAAAATTTTTGTTTAACGCTTGATATAACATAAAATTTTCATTGAGTTAATTATGTCTATTCAAATTTATAATTGGTCTAATTAGAATGTAAAATTTATAATTCACTATGTAATTATATATTTAAACTCATTAGCTATAAAAGAGTGTAAACTGTAAAGTAAATTTACATAGGGGTAAGATTAAAAACTTATTCTATTTCAAATAAAGTAAATGTAAATTTTTTTTTCATTTACATATGGGTAAAATTAAAAGCTTGTTCTATTTCAAATAAAATTAATAACTAATCACATCTCATTAATTTCAATTACGTATTTAGATAGGCCCTATAACAGGGGTGGAAGGAGTACAAGTGTTTCATTAAATAATGCCCACTTAAAATTTTAACAACTCATTCCCACCCCTCGCCCATGCTTGCCCATGCTCTCTCTTTCGTTATTTTCTTTCTCTTCTCGTTTTCGATATATCCTCTTGCGGCTACAAGTGGATTACCGTTCTTCTTCTCAATGAATCATGAATGTGGTATTCGCATAGTACGAAAATTTGGATCAACTTGCTTGATTAAACCAGTAAATTAATAAATTAGTGTCATAATTAATTTAATAAAATATTTTGTTTATGACTAGTTTAATTATAAGTTGATCATAGTTTTGATCATTAACCTTTAAATTAATGCCTAAACTAATTCAATGATCGATTTGATTTTCAATGCCTTATATATGAAGCTAAAAAAATGGGTTGAACCTGTAGACTAGCTCGTTTAATCTACTAAATTTGATGAGTTGGGTTAAAAAAATTAGCTCATTTTTAATAGGCTAGCCCAACATGCAAAATTATTGAGTTAAAATGAGTTAGCCCGCGGACTAGCATATTTTTTAAAAAATATTTTTTAATTTTTCAATCATAATATATCTTCTCATAAATTTACAAAAATAATAATATTTTTTAAATTTATAATTTATGACTCTCAAACATGTTCTTTACATTTAAAAAATAATGGAAATTTTTCTTACATATTGCAAATAAAATTTTTATTATAGTTTATAAATCGATGATTTATTAATTTTTATAAAAATATCTTGAATATATATTATTTATTAATCTCATAAGATCTATTGATTAAAATCACAAATATGAATTCATTGAGAAAAATAATGCAGGTTTATATTCAAATTTTATTTCTTAGTAAGAAATATATGGGTTTATATTATTTGTTAATTTCATGAGATATATGTTTATTTTATTTATTTTCAAGTTCTCTAATTGCTAATGTTTCTTGAAATGTAGACTAAATATATATATTTATATTATATAAATTTTAAATTATTAAAAAAAATTAGTACATTTTTACGGGCTAGCTTGCTAAAAAATAAGTTGGGTTAGAATTTTTAACCTGTTTTATATTGTGGGCTAGCCCAATCGGCCAACCCAACTCATAAAAATACCAACTCATACAAGCTAGATCGCGGGTTGGCCCATAATCCATTAGCCCAATGCTACTTGTGTATTCTTGTCTTGAATTTTAAAACTTATTTCCCACATTATAAACATAATCATTTCATTTATATAATTATTTTCATCTAAAATGTATTATTACAGGCAATAACCCAGGAAAATAAAAGAAGTAATAATTTAAAAAATATTAAAACATTAAAAGAAGGGAAAATTATATATAAGTTCTGTAGAGTAGACTTATTTGTAAATAAATCTGAAAATTTAAAAATCACATTTAAATTTTTTAAGACTTAAGTGTAATTTAAAATTAGGATGTAAAAATAATAATGTCCCTAATAAAAATACATTACATCATTAACCATTAAATTTGTGAATTTGTAGTTATAAAATATTAAAATGATAGTCATAAATTACTAATAAGATAATTATAAATAATTAATGTTAAGCTTTGTTAATGACATATGATCAGTTTAGCTATTAGATATATGAAGTTTTATAGTTGTAGAATATTAAAATGTTAGTTGTGAATTATTGATAAGGTAGTTGTATACAATTAGTATTAAACTTGTAATGACTGATTAATTTAACTATTAGATATATGAAGTTAGAGATGTAAATTACTGATAAAATAGTTGTAAATTATTTTATTAATATAATACAATTTTAATGGGGATATTATTATCTTTTCACTTTAATTTCAAATCACACCCAAGTTCCAATGACTTAGATGTATTTTTTTGAATTTTATGAGATTTATTTGTAAACAAGTATGCTCCATGGGACTTGTATATAATTTTTTTCTTAAAAGAATTGATTTTATTTATATAATTGATTTCATCAAATTTAAATTCCCTTAATAATATTTTGAATATTTTTTATGATTTTTAATTTTAATATTTTATTTCTTAAAGAGATCAATTTATATATATAGTCCCTCGATCCTATTTGTGGAATACCTTTTAGACATAATTTATAGTTTAAAATATAAGACACTTTGTATTAATTAAATTATTTTTTTTAATTTTATCTTTCTTGATTAGCATGAAAGTATTTAATATAATTATATTATTATTTAAAATTAAAAATAAAAATAAAAGTACATATCATTTTTTATCATATTAAAAAAAATTAACCTTTTTAAAGATGTATGAAATGGTTGAAATTATTTTATGATAAGGACCGGAGGGGGTATATAATAAAATTCATGTTATTTTCGGTCATATATCTAAACTTATTTTAAATTATATCATTCAAGTAGGTTTCAGTTTGTTAAAATATTTTCTTAAAATAATATTTAAACATAAATCACATTATACAAACTTTTACCTTAATTTTAGTTCAAAATCTAAATTTTAATTTTCTTATAAAAGTAAACCATCATCGACTAGCTGAGATAGAGTTCGTTTCGGCTTGGCCCAAGTCAAAGGGATATGAATCATTTGCAATGTCTTTTTTTTATTTTATTTTATTTTATTTGGTAGCGGTCAAGTTATATTATTTGTAAATTTTTATTTCACTCATAATAGATTTATTAGTTTGTTAATACATTGCATTTGATCATGTTATAGGAAAGAAAAAGACTACAATTAATGTTTTAGACTTGATGTCCATTGTCAAAGGATTTGATGCATGAACGAGGCTTTTATCTACCCGTGTTTGACTTGGAGTTAATTGACCTCCTCTTATCAATTTATTTTCTTACCTTCTTCCTATTTTTTCTACTCTTAAATCTCAACTTTAATAATTGAAATTTAATATAATAATATCTTATTAAATTATTCTTACAATATTAAATAATTTTAATAATAATTTAAAAAGAGGAGATGAGTCAACTCCGTTACATTTACCGGACAAAATAGCGTTATGGAAAGTCAAAATACGTTGACCTGAGAATTAGATCCGTTCATGTCACGTCATATAAAGCATTAAATCTCAACATTCAAAAATGGATTTTAGGGTTGAGATGGGAAGTGGAGAAACAGTGGAGAGAAGAGAAATAAAGAGAAGCCAAGTCTCTATACTTGCATGTTTGCATTGCAATTCACAAATTTCAACAACTATAGGTCCTTGTAATTTTAAGATATTTTGATATAAGGTCTCGAAGTTTCTCTCCAAATTCCTTTAGTTTATCCCATAAGTAATGTTAGTCTTTTTATTTTTAAATATATTCAAAAGAACAATGAAGTGGTACTAATAATATTAAATATGCTGACACATGACTAATATCGTTAATCTTTATGTTGATGAGGAATATTATGATTCAATAAATTGAAACATGAAACAAAATGAGGCAGACAATACTGTTAATATGCTAAATCATAATTCTACCTCAACACAAATTGACAAGGTTAGTCATAAATCTATTACAGGCTAAGAATTGAAAGCTAAATCAATCCTATCTTTTTTATGGGAGGGGGTTCTCTTCTCTTTCCGTTTCCTCATTTTTTTCTAATCTTCCTATTCCTACTATTAGCATTAGAACAAAGTATCAATGGTGGATAGATAAAAGTTTGTCCAATTGATAAGAATTTGTTCCATGACCAATAAAATTGTGTGTTCAAATCTCATTATTAATGTGAGGATTTTGTTGATGGATAATTTATAAATACTTTTCTAAACGTTCTTTTAAATCTTGAAACATCCCTTGGTCTTGGTGACCTATTGAGGCTAGACTTACCTAAACTTTTTTTCTAAAAAAAAAATCAATGGTCAATATTTAATCTTTTATAAAACTATTATAATATCAAATACTAAAAATAAATAAATAAATTTGAATTGTTAGAAATTTGATCCGAATATTCAGAATTGTAATAAAAGAGTAAAAAAATTGAATTGTTATAAAATATTTTAATAATAGTTTAAAGCTGTAAAATGTTTAGATTAAAATGTAATTGTTTAAATTTATTTATTTACTTATTTATTATTTTGTAATTTTGTAATTATTTTTTATAAAATATTGAATCTCGGTCATCAATTTTTTTTTGATAATAAGTACAAGGAGTAGCAGACTTCATTCGCTGATAAAAATTTGATCCAATGACATGGTTGGTAAGAGAAGAGGAAAGAATCCTCTACTGAGGAGTTATAAAAACAGCCCACCATTGAGTGGCCAGTAAGCGAGTCCACCTTGTAGTATTTTTTTTAAAAAAAATCAAAATTCTTTTTTTAAACCATCATTCACTAAGTTAGCAAAAAATAAAAATAGTTATCATCATCCAAATTCCAAACCCTCCTCTATATTGCTAAACATTGCAGTAATTTAGGTTCTTTATACAAAAAAAGTTCTAATCATGATTGCATGCTTAATTCAACTGATAAGATAATTATATTAGCTTAATAAAAAATTTTAAGTTCAAGCCCTAAAAATACACAAAACAATTTTCTTTTTGCTAAAATAATATTGGTGCCAGAACTTCTTTATCAAGAGGATCTTATCTTGATTACCAGTTTAAATATATAAAACATTAAAACAAAGTAAAAGAACAATACCAAGATTGACCCCCTTTTTCCTTCATACTGCCTTTTTTGGCCCCCAAACTCCAGAGTGTCTTTTTTATAATAGACAAAATTCAGCATGTCTTTTTTTTGTTAAGAGTCATGACTCTTGAATATTGTTGAGAAATGAAAAGACCTAACTCCTACGAGTACGTGCTTAGGCCTAAAAATTTGGTACCTTGTTTTTTGCCATAAATCCTTGAGTATATGATATGGTTGCTTTCCCCAAGGCTCGTGCTTGATTGAATTTTCCTTTAAGAACCAAATATAAGTTTAAACAGCTAGCTGGCCTTGATCTTAAATTAGAGCCGGAATTTGGACTAAAACCGACAAAATTTAGTATTGGACTTGGAAATTTTTAATTTTTTTTATCAATTCTTTTATATTTAATGTCATTAGAGCTGGCCTAAGTAGGTCTCAAAAAACTTAGGCTGTGTTCAATCGGATTTGAGTTTGGCTTGAACATCTTAAAATTTTATATGATATATTTTAAATATTTATTAATCTCTTATCATTTAGTACATTATGCTAAGAGGTTGTATGTATATTTTAATATATTGTTTTATATTTAAAAAAAAAAAAAAGATTTATATTGCTCTATTTTTGTATTTTTAGTTTATAAAATATCTTAAAAATATATTTTAATCTTGATTTTTAAAAAGTATATTTATATTTTTTATAATAATAAAAAAATTAAATTTAATGTAAAAATTAAAATTGGCTTTAAAAAGAGGACTCTGACTATTTGGATAAATTACTATAGATTCTAAATAAGGGAATTTATTATTTATAAGCCTTGTTCACTTGCAAATGCAAAAGTTTAACATATAAATATAAAAGTTTCACATATAAATGGATTGAATAAATAATCAATTTACTTATTTAAGATTGTAATCCTCCCACCAAAATAAGCCAAAAAGCACCGAATATTAGAGTCAATGTTAGTTATAAAAGCTTTTTTATATGTTCAAATTCTGCTTAAACCTTTTTTTTTTTTCCAAATGTATACAGTTTGGGCTCAGGTCTCAAGAATCAAATGTCAAGAACCTTATTATACTTTAAAAACTCCAACTTACAAATAAAGATTACTGTAATTAATAAAAATTTAATTCATAATTTACAAGATCATAAGTGTTATTTAAATCTGGAGTATTGCTAACCTGTGATCCCATGACTCAACTCACCAAGAATTTTGATGGATCCAATAAAAACCCCACATCCGAAACCTAACCGAAAAAATGGGGGAATTAACCTGTATTGGCCGTGTCTGCACTCCTCTTGTAGAATGCATGTGCATGGGACTCGTTACTCTTGCTATTGCTAATTTTTATATGGTATATCGATTCAATTTTTAAGTGGATTTTGGTCCATTATTTTGCTGGAAGACCGACCATTGAATTGGTGAATAGTTTTTGATTCATTTTCAATCTTTGATGGTAACTAATACAGAACACTGCACGCACAAAATCTCACCGGCAAACTTCCTCCAGAACTTGTCAGATTACCTTACCTTAACCTGATGTAAGTAACTCAAACTCAAAACTATATTGACGCACTGAAAATTTGTTTTCAACCTTTTCTTTTGCCTGAATCTGCACTAACTTTTCATGTCCTTCCCTTCGGTACAGTGACCTGACCCTCAATTACCTTAATGGCCCAATCCCTTCAAGCTGGGCCTCCCTTAAGCATCTCATCTACATGTATTCTCTCCACTTTAGCTATACATTGATATTTTTAATTTCATGAAATGCAAATGTAGTCTTTGTTTCCTGTCTTAGTTCTCTTCCTAGTAACCGTCTAACGGGTCCGATCCCAGTGGAGCTAACGAAGATCACGACTCTGCAAACTTTGTGAGTTTTCGGATACCCACTTCGTTGAAGAATTAGCTCCATTTCAATTTTACGAGTACTTTTAGTTTTTAGTTGAATTTTAACTTGACATTGATAGGATCCTCTCGTACAATCAATTTTCTGGAAATCTTCCTGCTGAGCTTGGCAATCTTCCCCAGCTTGAACGATTGTAAGCCCTTCATTTCGTTTGCCATTCATTTCTGAATTCTGATCCCATTTCTTTTTTATTTTGAATTTACTTCTCGCTGATTTATTGTTTCTCTCCGTAGGGGGTTAAATGATCATCCTTATTGATAGATCTTTTAGTTCATAATCATGCCTTAAATTCTCATTTTCTGGTTGGTTTAGGCTTCTCACCTCCAACAACTTCACAGGAGAAATACCTTCAACTTTTGCAAAGCTTACAAGGTTGAAGGACGTCCATTATTGTCATTCCACTCCGAGTACTTATCAGTTAGCTCCCTGTGGTATTTCCGTTTATAATTCTAACCTTATTTTTCTTTATACGAGAAAGTTTAGGTGAGTTACAAAATTCTAACCAAATTAGTTGCCTGAATTTCGAATGATAGTTTTATTATTATGTTTGACTTATACTATGAACAATACTATAAAGGAGTTGAATAACATGAACTTAAATAGTGGGGCAAACTAATTATAGAGAAAAACCCTGTAATTATTGTTTTGTTTATTTCTCAGAATGAATAGTAATGTTTTGTTGCTTAACCTTAATTAATTCAGTCGACTGGGTGACAATGAATTCTCTGGAAAGATACCCGAATTCATGTAGAATTGGACAAGCCTTGAGATGTTGTGAGAAATGTTTTTCTCCCCCCTGGCGATCAGTATTTATTTTAGTTGTTTTCTATTGTTATATGTTGCTTCATCTGAAGCGATGGTCATTCCCATGTTTACAGAATAGTTAAAGGGACTGGTTTAAGTGGACCGATACCGTCAGGAATTTCGTTTCTTGGAAACTTAATTCACTTGTAAGTTTCATATCTAGCGTCTCAAAACAAATTATTTACTTTTTTACTTTTTTTTTTCACATACTTCAAATTCATATGCAGGAGTATAAGTGACTTGAATGGACTTGATTCAACTTTTCCTCTACTTAACAATTCCAGAAAATTGCGAGGATTGTGAGTTACCTGCTTCGTTCACTATATTCCTTGTTTTTTCTTCAAGTCAATAAAGGACTCTGTTGAAGGGTAATTAAGAATATATATTGATGCCGTAGTTGTTGCAAAATTTTGATGTTCGATTGTTTGACAGGACATTGAGGAGTCGCAGTATCAATAACGCGATACCTGACTATCTCGGGGAAATGACCTATTTATCTAGGCTGTAAGTGCTGATTCACTGCCATTTCATTTTTTAGGCTGCTGTCAATTGGGACATTTCCTTGTTTTATAATTTCTAGATGAAATTTCTGTTTCAGAGACCTGAGCTTTAACAAATTGAATGGAGGGATTCCTGAAACGCTTGGTCACCTATCAAGAATGGATAACATGTAAGAATTTTTGTATGGTTTTTGATATATATATATATATATATATACTGCAAAATGAGGGCAGATATTTACAGGGTGGTGGGAGGTCCTATATATTTTTGAAATGAGGGATACATTAAAGACCTCCCCTATTTGGGCTGCGTTGCCTGAAACCTCTGGAAACTACTTAGCAACAGTAAAATTATGAAATCAACAGTGCCCGTCACTAATCTGCCTGTTTGAATAGTCAGTGCTAATAACATGTATCCTTCACACCTATAAAAATGAAGGGTCAACTTGGAGTGGTATAGCTGCGAGTCCAATTTGGGTCGTTTAAGTGGAGGCAATGTAGTTTAACTTTATTATTCCAAACCATTTTTGTGATTTATTACCACTGAATTGGTACCATTTGTTGATGAGCCGTGAAGCATGAATGTTAACATGGGCACTACATATTAGCATGTTGACATGTCTAGGTTCAAAAATCAGGACACGAGATGCGGGCTCATGCATAAGCACATGTATATAATACAACACTTGGCGTACGTTTTTCTCATTCATTGAGTTCTTGCTAAGAAAAGTAAAATGGTTATTATCAAATATTGTTTGTACCTAGAACCATTATTTCCAAAAATAATACTTACTGATGAAAGCATCACTATTTATTAGCCATGAAAAATGTGGCTTATATTTCAGGCTCTATGTAATGTACAAGATCTACGTTTAATTAAATTTCAATTTTGTATGACTCGTACCATATACAACATGATCTTTTTATTTTTCCAGTCATGTCAATAAGAAGCAAATACATAAGTATTGTTAAATCTATATTCTGTATATATAATAAATATATATATCTGAACTCAAGCTCAAGATTGGCAATTAGGTTATTTTAGGAATAATTTAGATTTAGATATATTGATTTATCTCGGCCACATGCTATATGATTAATATTAATACTAATTTGTTTGATTTAGCTTTCCTCTACATTTATCTTCTCTCTTTTTTTTCATAGCGTTTTTTGTTATTATTTTTCAAACAACATATTAACGATTCTTTTTTATTTTTTATTGTTTTCTTTGATGTAATTCATATTCCTTCAAGTTATTATCTATCATGTGTATCACACCAAAAAAACTCTAGTTTTTACTGAATGAAAAGATGCTAACTATATTTATTCAAATTATTCATGTGCATCATCAAGAACTTTTGTTATCTCTCGACTATGGGGTTTTTAATTCTCTTGCTCTATCTTTTTATCCCTTTATTTGGCATAACTCATACCTGATGTGTTGGAATTGTGTCAAACTTACTTAAGCTAAATAAGGATATATTTAATTTATATTGACAATGCAGACACATTGCAAAACTGTGTCATGGCACTCACCCATATCAATGGACTTAAGAGAATTCCTTTGTAAAGTGTATTATTTAAGTTTCTTGATGGTTAAAGAATTCATTGTCATCAATCGTTTCCAGCATCTGTTGGCTAATCCAAAATAACCTTGCAGTCAAACAAGTTGATAGGACACCAGGAACAATCTGAATTTATAGAATTCTTTCTTGCAAAAGATGAAAAAATGGAGGGATTAATTACGTCGAGCTTACCGTTTTGATGAGTCATCAATAACTAATGGGTTATGAAATGATTTTTTTCTATTGCATTGCCTCAGGTATTTAACTGGAAACCTTCTGCAGGACCTTTGCCTGAGTGGTCGGAGAGAGTTACATACATGTGAGTTTTCCTCCAAATTACAGTCATTTTCTTCTTTAATCAAAAAGCAAGTGGAGAATACTGAATGCATTGTTTGTTTTAAATTTCTTTCTTCTTGTTAAGTGGCAGACGGGCATTTTGCTGTTGAATTGGGAAATGTTAGTTAAAACTGATTGCTATAGCCGACTTTAACCAGTGATATATGGTACGTGATCGCGTACTTTCTTAAAGCTTAGGGTATTTTATTGGCGACAAATGAAATATATTGTATGTGTGCGTATTGTTTGTGCTGCAATAAATGTATTGATCAGCATAGGCAGGTAACAATCCTGAGAAGTAATCTAGAAAAACTATTAAGCTGGTAATTTAATCACAGGCATTAAGTATTTGCTCGAAATATGACCTGATAAGCAATTCATTTATCAAGTGAGGGTGTTGGCGGAGCAAGGTTTAATTTAATTTCCCTTCAATATGGAGGAAACAATTTCCTGAGTTCTCTGAAGTCCTTCATTTAAATGGTTTATAAGCTATCTCTAAATATACTCCAACTTCATAACAAAATCCATTGTGCTCTGCATGCTGTTAATCATTGTTTTTATGGTTTAATGCTTTCTCTGGGAGACACATTATTAAAAAATATATATATATATATTCTACCTTGGTTTTTCTTATCCCATTACCTTTTGATTATGAAATTGTTTTGCTGGCCACTCTACCTTTCTGTTGACAAATGATATTTTCTTCGTTTCAGTTGTTTTTTAGCTGGGGAGTCATTTTCAAAATGTCCGGCACGATGGCTTAATTTTATCGATAAATCTATTAGATTATATTTATGCATTAATTTTTTCTGAGTTAACAATTGTTTCATAAATTCTCTTTGTCAAACTATGTTAGATTCTTGATCATATTTTATACCTCGTACATAGGGATCTTTCCTATAACAGCTTTACCAGCAGAAACCCGGGCGCTGAGAAGTGTCGTCAGCGAAATGTGTTAGAGTTTTTGCATTTGTCGAGATTGCGTACAATTTTAAGAAGCTATCTGGGGCTTATCCATCTTTTACAAGCCACAGGAACTTGTTTGGAGATCCTTTGATGGCCAATACCTCGTAAGTTTTACCTTATATTATAGGTCTTTGTTTGTCTTTCTTTAAAGTATATAGCTTGTTCATTTCCTCAAGGTAAAAGAAAAGAAAAACCTTGTTTCTTTAGAAACTTGTGTTTATGATGTGATTATGCTGACTTGTTCTGCTTCCCACTTTCTTTCAGAGGATCTGTTTCTTGTATGAAAACCACTGTTTGTTCCAAAAGTAAGTTGTCGTGTCATTCATTTCCTCTAGATAATACGTGTAATTTAATTTATGTCTTTTCTTTCTTGTGTTACCAAGGAGATGGAAAGAATTGTTCTCCTATTGATGCATGCTTGAACAGCGAGAGCTTGTCATATGATCCTTAAACATTATTGTGATGCAACTTAAAATTGAGGATGCTGTAATGGGTGTTGGAACCAGTAGATAGATTTAAAGCCTGAGTCATGTCAAGGACACTGTTTTTAAGAGCTATTCCGTCACACTAAGTTGTTCACACGGCAGCTTTCCAAGATTAAACAAACTCATCCTGCAAAATAAGCAGGGCCACAAAACAATAAAAACTGACAGAATATACTCAGCAACACAATACAGAGGAGAAGTTTGAGAATTAAAGAGCTGAGCCCCTGGCTACATTGCATTCTCGGTCTATAGATAGGCACAACCATATAGAGGTCCTTAAAGCAGCAATTAATCACCAGTTTTATAGGGAAACAATCACCCATAAAATCACTTTATGTTGATATTGTGTAAAGTTGAGTGGTTGGGGAGTTATGACAATAAAACACCCATTGAACATTATTAAAATTTGATAAAATCTGAATAAAACTCCTCTTAGGCTATAACTTAACTTTTAAACACAATAAATTTGTGCTTTTCCTGAAAAGCCCAAAATACAAATTAATTTAATAATTTTGCAAAACAAATCTAGTAAAAAAAAATACAGTGCCTCTTCAACTCATACAAATCAAAACAAATCTGGTAAAAAAAAATACAGTGCCTCTTCAACTCACACATAGGAGGTGCGCAAGTCAACTTTTCTTCTGAGCCCATTTATTAGCCCGTTTTTATTCCTTAGCATATATATACGCTAGGAGCTCTTCTCATATGGGCAATGTGGGATTTCTCCTTTTAACACATTTACACAATAATTACAACAATGGGAATGTGATGAGTTAGCCTTTTGAACCATGAGCATGTTTATGTTTTTCTCTTTCCCTTTTTTCTTTTTTTTTTTTGAAGAAAGAAATTATCAATGTATTTGATGAGAAGTTGGTTGTGATATACAAAAGTGAGCCATAAACATCAATAATCAGGGTTTTATAGTAATCTGATCTCACTGCTTTAATTGCTTCATCTGCTGATCCAATTTTTGTATAGAAGTTACAGGTATCTCATAACTTGCATAAAAAACAGAGCACATTAAAACTTAAATATGGAAAACTCGAGATCTTAACAAAAACTGATTTTAGGGCCAGTAGTTTCATAACAAAGGAGAATATTTGATCCATGCTCACTTTTTTTGTGGGTTCTCCTTTTAGCCATAGGAATACATAAAACTTGAATGGACAACAACTTATTATGGTGGTTTCTTTGTGATTCTTTGGGAAGTCTCTGACTCTTTCCTTCTTGAGCCAGCATGGCACTCTGTCAGTATAAATTGTGGTTAGAGATCAGGAAACCATTGGAGATACAATGTATGATGGTGATTTGGATCCTGCTGGACCAGCAAGGTTTGGAGAGAGTAGGAGAAACTGGGCATTCAGCAGTACTGGTGACTCTTATGATCATTGTAACAAGTTTGCCTATATTGCAGAAAACATATATAATCTCTCTATACCCAATGTTAAACTGTATAGGAATGCACGTCTTTCCCCTATGTCTCTGACTTATTATGGATTCTGCCTGGGAAATGGACCGTATACAGTGAGTCTCCATTTTGTGGAGATAATGTTGACTGATGACAAAACTTTCGGCAGCCTTGGAAGGCGCGTATTTGACGTCTACATTCAGGTACTTAATTAGTGGTCAACTGGTTATATCGTTTGTTTACTTTTGTCATCCAGGTGTTTGATATGGAACATAACGCTTCATCCAGTTCATCGGTGTGGTTACATTATTAAAATAGAGTAGACATCTTGAAGGGTCCTAGGATTCAAGGATACACTGGAGCGAATCTAAGACCAATTATATCTGCTAATTGACTGATCTTCGAATAAATTGGTTAAAAAAAAAAAAGGAGCAAATGCGAAATATTAAACTTTAATAGCAATCAGGGCATGTTTTGGCTGTCAATAGAAAATTTTATTTATCTACAAGACTTTCTGAAATTCTTAATATTCTCTGGACAGAGAAACTCTATTCTGAAACTTCTTAACAAGTATAGAATCAATTTCTGCAATATCTTCTATAGAATGTCCAGAATTTATGTCTAAAACAATAACGATCCTAAAGCATTTTGAATTGGATTGAAATATTGTAGGGAAAGCTAATGCTGAAGGATTTCAATATTGTAAATGCAGCCCCGGGGGGGGGGGTTGTTAAGCTAATCGTAAAAAAATTTACTATAAATGTAACAAGCAATTCCTTAAGAGATTCGCTTCTATTGGGCCGGTAAAAGGATGGTTTCTATGCCAGAAAACTTAATTTATGGTCCTCTAGTATCAGCTATATCTGTGACTCCTGGTGCGTTCTTATTCTCTATTACCAGGTATTTCTTTTCCTTTTTCTTTTGGCTAGTATCATCTGATATTTGTAGCTCTTGTATCAAGCAGACTTTAAACCCCCAAGAAGCAAACCTAGTATGGTTGTGGCTGCAATAGTGGCTACGGGAGTGATTATAGTCATCTTGGCATTGGCCATGCTCTGGTGGAGATGTTCTCTGGGAAAGAGAAGCTCATTAGCAGTAGGTAATGACACGGAAACCACTAATGCACTGCAATATTTTCTGTAGATAATGGATGGGATCAACAAATTGAACGCTAATTATTGCCTGTTCTCCCGAAATTATTTATAATGGGAATTTTGTGCATCACAAGATATATCTCATCTTTGTTTACTTATGCTCTCAGAGCTAAAGGGCTTAGATCTGCAAGCTGGTTTGTTTACCTTGCGCCAAATCAAGGCAGCAACAAATAACTTTGATGTATCCAGTAAGATTGGAGAAGGAGGATTTGGTTCAGTTTACAAGGTATCCTGAGCAAAGTAGCATCATAACTTGATTATCTGAAATATTCTGTCAGTTCTTGCTGACTTTTCCTTTTCGTATATAATTTCCAAAATGCAGGGCTTTCTAGCAGATGGCACAATGATAGCAGCCAAGCAGCTTTCTTCAAAGTCAAATCAAGGAAACCGTGAGTTCCTAAATGAGATAGGCATGATCTCTGCTTTGAAACACCCTAGTCTTGTCAAACTCTATGGTGGTTGTGTTGAGGGAGATCAGTTGTTGCTGGTATATGAATACATGGAAAACAATAGCCTCGGTCGTGCCTTGTTTGGCAATTTGTTTGTATTTACTTCCCATATATATGTGTATACGCATGTATATTTGCTTGTGTGACCAAAATTATGCTGTTGTCAAATTTCCAATACATTCTCAAGTGAAGGCCCAGGAGAATGCAGTTTGAAATTGGATTGGCCAACAAGACAAAAGATTTGTATTGCTATTGCCAGAGGTTTGGCTTTTCTCCATGAAGAATCGAGACTGAAAATTGTTCACAGGGACATCAAGGCCACTAATGTGCTGCTTGACAAAAACTTGAATGCAAAAATATCAGACTTTAGATTGGCTAAGCTTTATGAAGGGGAAAATACCCACATAAAGCACACGAATAGCTGGGACCTAGTAAGTTTCTTTTTGTGAACTTGTTATTGGGAAAAAATATCTATCAGAATCCAATTCAGCACTGTCATGTGACATATTTTATTGCTCCCAGTCATGTGATATATCTTGTTGCTGGAATGGTTATATTTCAATTTTACAGTGGATATATGGTTTCTGAGTATGCAATGAATGGTTATTTGACCAACAAAGCTGATGTCTATAATTTTGGAGTCATTACTTTGGAAATTGTTAGTGGAAGGAGTAACACCTTTCACAGGCAAAAGGAAGACTGCTTCAATCTTCTTAATTGGATGTTGTTTGTATCTTTATGATTTCCAGTATTCATGTGAACTTGATTATCATCATAACTACACAGGATTTGTGCCGCTCTTGAAGAACAATAGATTTAACATTTACGTAAACTTTGTCTAAACTGCTACAATGCCCTGAATGAAGGCATCTTACTGACATCAATGGCTTTTGCCATGTAAGTTTCGGCTGTACAAATATGACCAATGCCTTGCGCAAAAATGACCAGGAAAATGTTTTGAAAGAGGATGGCTATCTAGTGGAGCTAGTTAATCCAAGGTTGGGTTCAGAATTTGACAGGAAGGAGGTAATGGTGATGATCAACGTGGCTCTCCTATGCACTAATCCATCTTCATCACTGAGGCCCCCCATGTCTTCAGTGCTAAGCATGCTTGAAGGCAGAACTGTTGTTCCAGAGTTCGTTTCTGATCAAAGTGAGGAAGCGAATATGATGTGAAGTTAGAGGCAATGAGACAGTGTTACCGAGTGATATAAGGCAATCAGACAAATGATGAGACTGACACTCACACCAAGAGTCCCTTAGGGACCCCCACTTCATCTACATCAGGTAGAGATCTGAATTCTTTTCGTCTAGATTCTTCGTAATGGGAGAAGAGAAAGTTCGAGACCCCGGGGGGGGGGGGGGAACTCAATTTATATCATCTGGGATTGCAGCATGGTGGAGGGGTCGTTTTGGTTTGTGCTTGGTCTTGAACTCACCTTGTATCCCCCCTAAAATATAAGCATACAAAATTATCAATGGTAGGATTCAGACTTAAGATGAAAGATGGTTGTGTTCTTAGCATGTTGGTGAAGGGAATGAGATGAAGTTAGAGGCAATGAAACAGTATCACACTGGATAGTTCACCTTACTAGGATATGGACCCGTAATCCTTGTTTTTATCATGGGATGTGTTTCATGAAGTATAACTTTTATGAATTTTTAAAAGAGGTGTTTACAGACCGTATTTTGGATAGGATTATATTTAATAAGAAGATACCTATGAATTATTAAAAAAAAACCTAACTTGAACTATCAATTATACCAAGCAAAAAGCTTTAATTATCAAGGCTTAAAACTGGGCTTTTAAGCTGAAATATGTTTAAGAAACAAAATTTTCACATACAAAGTGCAATTTGTAATGTAATCTGAGTCCACGTGCAAATGCAAATATAACCTATAATTTATAATATCTAATGGCCAGATTGCAATTTGTCTAAAATAAATATGTTATAAAAGCATTTCTAAAATATTCGTGAGGCCATTGTCAGTAATAATATTCTCACACAATGAGGGTTTGAATTAGTTTGAACAAGAGATGGTAATATCTTCAGTTTTTCATGATACTAGGTGCTGGAATCAAAAAAAATAAAAATACACTATAACACAAAGTTCTAAAATGTGATAGTTAAAATTTAAATGCCAATTATGTTTCCAAATCCTCACCAGTATTATCCAAAAACAAAATATTTGAATCTTGAGTTGAAGAAAATTCATGTTAGAATTGCTAATTCAAAAGTATTAGCATCATCATTTTCATCACTTGAAATATTTATCAAATTGTGTCATTTTATATTTTCATCCAAAAAAAAAATGCTTGATATATAATTGACATAATATTAGTAATTGAAAGAAACTAAGTAAATCATTATCATAAAAGATAATAATGATAGTTAATGCTCTAGGTTTGTGGTTACTTTTTTTTTTGACTTCAAGTAGGAATGCTCATCCTAACGGAATAATGTGAGTGCTCATATCAATCGATCCTGATTCAACATATAACCATGGTATTGAAAACCGGACCGGACCGGCCGGGTCAACCCGGAAACCGGTGAACCGGTCCCCTGTCCGGTCTGGGTTTGCACTTAACCCGGTGAGGGAGTGAACCGGTGTAACCCGGTCAACCCGGGTTCAACCCGGTATAACCCGGATAACCCGGTGGGTTGACTGGGTTAACCGGGTTAATATTTTTTCAGACTTTTACCCCAAAACGACGTCGTTTTTGATTTTTTTTTTCATTTTTAATTTTTCACAGCTCTGAGTTCGGAAAAAAATAACAAAAAAAAGTAAAATTAAAGTCAAAAAATAAAAAATTAGAGATAGAGCATGCTAAGTCCAAAAATATAGTATTTTATTATTGTTAGACTTTTGAGTGGTTGGATTTGGTTGAATGTTTTTATAATTAATGTCTTTTTATTTAAATTGTATTATTTTAATCATGACCGGTTTGCCACCGGTTCAACCCCCGGTTCAACCCTGATTGAACCACTAACCCGTGACCCAGTGCCATGACCGGTTTAATGACCGGTCCGGTTTTACGTACCTTGCATATAACACCCCAAACGTTTGTTTTTTGTTAGAAGAAACGCTCATCGGACCGGAATGAGTTTATCAATAGGTGTGCCTCATCCAGCCCAAACTAATCAAGTGTTCGGCCGCAAGTTTTTATGGGCTTAGTAGGATTGGATTCATCAGGTGAAGTGGGCTCTCTAGAGCCCAAGTCATACTATAATATCAATTAATATAAATTAAATCCTAACCAATTTTAACGTGTTAAACTTTATAAATTTATGAGTTTGGCTCTCAATTAAAATTTTATTTTGATAAATTTTGAATTTTTAAAAAATTTTAATAGAAAAATAAATTTGTTTATTCTTTCATATGTTAAAATTTAAAAAATAAGTTGTAAATTCATCATAACAAAGTTACAAAATTAAAAATCAAGCTTGTAAATCCTTGAAGTTTTCACTTTGAAATTAATTGGGACTTAATTTGAATTAATTTTTTCCTTTAAGACTTATTTGTCATTCTCCCTATTAATTTTTGTGAGAAAATTAAAGTGTAAATATAGTCTTTTTAATAAAGAAAAATGATAATAAAATCTCTCTAAATTATATAAATGATAATTTGATCTCTTAAAATGTCATAATACTAATGAAATTCTTAAAGACCTTCTTGTCAATAACTTTTTTAGGGAAAAGCTGAAAAGACCATTTTTTCTTTATGACAAATTATAATTTCTTATTCAATTCTTGTAATTCTTTAAAAAAAAATTGTGATTTTTTAAACAAAAGTTATGAATAGAGTTTATTATTTTAAAAATTTATTTTTTCAATAATAAAAAATAAACTTCACGAATTGTGATTTTTGTTTAACTTTTACAATTGACAAAATAAAAGTTATTATTCCTTAAACAAAAATTGTGATTGGGGTTTATTTTTCAATAATAGAAATTACTCTTAATAAGTTGTGATTTCTTGTTCAATTATTGTAATTAAAAGAATAAAATTTATAATTTTTTAAACAAAAGTTGTGATTAGGTCTAGTTATTTTTAGTAAGGGTAAAATAATTTTTTTAAAAAAAATATTGACAAAGAAATCTCTAAGGACTTCATTAGTATTACGATATTTTGAAGGATTAAATTATTATTTATATAATTTGAACGGATTTTATTATCATTTTTTCTTTTAATAATATCATAAAATATTAATTCTTAAAGAATATTTTAATCTGAAAGCAAATAATTTTAATATCGATTGATATGGTCTAAAACATACTTCATTCAAAAGCAAGGGGAAGTGAAAGAGACCAATGTGACCAACTTATGTCGGGCATCCCTGATAGGGATTAGCTACCTCTCCATCTGTTTCTCTCTTTTGAGCATTAACTTCTTTGTTGAAATATTTTTTTAGAACAATTTAAAAATAATTTATTCAAAAATAGATATAAATGTGACATATAAGTATAATTTTTGTACCAACAAAAATAATTAAGTGATATAATTGATAAGAATTTGGTTTGCAAATTTACAAGACTTCACAAGATTGTAAGATCAAATCATGATACTAATATAAGAATTTTATTAATAAGGAAAATTTGAGTACTTATAGAGACATGTCCCACTCCTAAGCTTGATGAACCATCAAAACTTAATCCATGTAAAATTTTGTTGATAAAAAAGAATTATAGTTTGTGTTACTTAATTTTAAAATATATAAATGTACAATATATATATATATATATATATATAAAATATGAGTGAAGATAGTGATCAAACAAGGTTAGTGTGGAGGGGGAAGAGCGTGAAAACGACAGTTGGAGAGACGTCGTCGTGAGGGATCACGCAACCTAAAAGTAGGGGTGATCCACTGAAGTTCAATCACAACGAAATTCGGTAATCTTCGTAACCAAACGTGCCCCACCCCCATTCACTTCTTCGCCAACAGCCAAACACTCGCTCAGCTCCGGTCTATGCTGTTCCCCACTACCGTGCACCTCTGCGTACCCAATCATTGCCTTCCCTTTCCCAATTCCCAGTCCCACCTCATTCATAAGGAAGGTAGTTAGATCTTCACCCCAAAAAAATTAAAAAAAAAAGTTAGATATTATGTGTGAAACTCGTTAAATGTTTTTATAACACATCAAATAAAATAATTCAAAGAACAAAATAACCTAATTATGGTTGCAGTGTGTGTGTGAATTCAAATACAAAGTGTCTGTCTATTGATAAAATTAGATAATATTATTTTGTCCATTAACTAAAATGAAAGGTTGAAATTTTTGCCATTTTTAGAAGGCAACAAACACTCCAAATCCATTTAGGCTCCTTTCATTAGATTAAGGATGAAAAGAATATAATGGCGATGGCCGAAAAAAGGATAATAATAACATAATTGAAAAATGTCAAACATTTACTTTTAATACTTTAGGGGAGATAATCTTTAATGTTAGTGAGGTATATTCGTTGTACTCATTCAAAAATATGATTAAAAAAAACATAACTTCATCCCATTTTTGTTTATTTTTTATTTGTCTCTTTTTGTAGCCTAATTTAACCCTCTAGTTTCAAAAACAAAAAATTCACCATTATCAATAATATTATAAATATAATTTATAGTAAAATGTATTATCTAGGAAATCATGAATTACCAATGTTATATTTATCCAATAACATTGGTGATTATTAGTTGTTGAATGACTTGGACATATCTAATAATTAAAATTGTCAATTATTCAAAGAGTCGGCCTCCCTTGACTTCTATTTCATGTGATTATATAAATCCCAATGATACCAAATGTTTTCTTTGTTGTCAAGATTCCATTTATATTATATAAAGTTAATGAGCATTTTAAACTTTAAATTATTACTCGAATAGTATCATAAATTTTAAACTTTTAAAATGAGCATCCTAAATTTAAAATTATTATTCAAATAGCAAATTACCCCTCCATTAATTTACACATAACCGCTATTACTTCTGACTTTTGTAGGATTTAATTAAAGGCTGATGTGACACTAATTCTCTCTTAACTAGTGACATGTCAAATGGACTATATAACAGTTAATATTGTACAAATAAATGATGGAGTTAGTTTACTCAAAATTTATAAATTGATAAGATTTTTTGCTCATTTTAAAAGTTTATAATTTAAAATGCTATTTGAATAATAGTTTAGAGTTCATAATTTACTCATCAACCCTGTTATATAAATATTTATATATGCGACTGAGCAATAGGGGCTTGATCATACTATTATACCATACGTGAGAATTAAGTTATGCTATTTATAATTTTTAAACAATTCATAATCACTTCATACTTTATTTTAGGTTATATATGGATAATTTATCTAATGCTCTTAATCCCTTTTGAATTTTTTTTTTCAATGGCCCTTAATATAAGATTCTTTATCTAAAGATATTAACATTTATTTTCTAAATATCTTTAATTAGATTTGGTTAATCCCTAGCTAACTATAAGAAAATTCATAATTAATTAAAGAATCTCATATAAAGAGAGAAATTTTGAAATTTGAAAAGATTTAATTAATTTCAAATAAATTCTTTAATATATGTAAAATTGTTAATATGGTGTTATAAAATCAATAGACTAAAAAAATTAACTAACGGGAAATAAATCATTTACATATTTATCACCATATGTGATCTATAACATTAATTAGTTCAATCAAATGACTGTGGGGGGAAAAATGATCCCATCTCATTCAAATAATTTTTTAGAATTCTTTAGCATGAATTTCACATATATACCCATTATACTTCAATTCAAAACTCACTGGAGCATAATAAATTTCAATTTCCCTCCCATAAAATACCTAAAATAATTATTTGATTTAACATATAAATTTAGGGAAAATGACAAGAAAAAACTCCCTAAAATATGTAAATGATAGTGAGGTCCCACAAAATATTATAATTATTTTTAAGTCTTTAAGAACCTTTCTAATATTAATAATTTTCAATAAAATGACTAAAATATCATCAGGTTAAAATAAAAAAGTAACAGCTATGCCTCAAAAAAATAAAGATAAGTGACTATTTTAGTTTAAATAATAACTACTTTTCTTCTAACAATGATTAAAATATAACAAATAATTATTACTTTTTCTGTTTAAATTTTTAATTCATTAGAATCCAAGTATTATAACTATCAATGACTACTTTAGTTTAAGTAATGATTACCTCTTTCCTAACAATGGCTAAAATAAAACAAACAATTATAACTTTCCCTATGCAATTTTTTTGTTCACCAAAGTCTAAAAGTTGTGTGTATATATATAACTATTTTAGTTTATGCAATGACTAATGCTTTTCTAACAATGATTAAAATGAAATAAATAATTATAACTTTTCCTGTACAAATTTTTGATTTGTTTAGATCTAAGTATTGTAAATATCTATAACTACTTTAATTTAAGCAATAATTATTTTTCTTTTGATAATGATTAAAATTATGGCAATTCACAGGACTTTATTATTATTTGTATATTTTGAAAAAATTTCCATCATTTCTCATAAATTTAGGTCTCATGAATATAAAATTGTCATAGTAACATCACTAGTAAATTCTTACTTGTTTAAATGAAGAAATGGCTTGTCTTACATTCGGCAGCTGGAAGCTTGGAACCAAGCCGAGACATCTGTTCTCATATCATAGCAATTATGAGCCTCTTTGGCAGGGGCGCTGAATAGATTTGCATCGTTCAAAATTTATTTTGACAATTTAAATTTGAATATTTTTATTTATAATTTTTAAATGAGAATTTTATATTTTTGAAAAATATGACAATCGAAAATTTTTTCTTTATTAACCAAATACAAGCTACTATCTTGACAATTTAGGTCATGCTACTATTAAAGTAATTAAATATTTAAAACATAATATTAAAAATAAAACCAAATACAAGCTATTCAAATTTAATTTGAATGCTTTAGATTAAAAATGAGTAGCCATACTCAATATTTTGATAAACATGATATGTTTGGTTGAAGAGGAGAGGCCGGGCGAGATAAGAAAAAAAGTGTAGAAAGAGAAAATGAATGAAAATGATTCAATATGGTAATTATTAATGCATATTGTAAAGTCTTAAATATATTCAAAAAGAGTGTTATAATAATGCATGTATTCACATTGGTGCAAATACAATCCAATCATTGTGAATGAGGGGGAAAAAAAATAATCCAATCAGATTTAAAAAAGATACCAAAATTAAAATACAAAAGTCAGGCAGAAAAAGAGACACATGCGGCTGCAGGCACCACTATAAATATCAGGCTTTTAAGGCCTTAAAGCCTTCACTCTGAAATGCCGCGAAACACACAGACGCACAACACTCACATCTCTTCTTCTTCTTCTTCGGCTTCATTGCCATAGCCTTCTCTCTCTTTCTTTCCAAGGAAAGGTGGGAGACAGAGTACGGTGCGTTTCGGAAATGGTGACACGGCTTCAATACAGTCTCTCCTCTTCTCATTTTGTGCTTCTGCTGCTTCTGGTTGCTTGTGCGGGAAAGGGGAATGGGTCTTCGGGTCGGGTCGAAGGGAGTTGCGATGTGTTCTCGGGCTCGTGGGTGAGGGACGGATCGTACCCGTTATACGACCAGTCCACGTGTCAGTTTCTGCAGCGCGAGTTCAGCTGCGAGAGGAACGGCCGCCCTGACCGGATTTACACCCACTACAGGTGGCAGCCCCTCGCCTGCAACTTATTCAGGTAAGGTCCTCCTCCACCACCGACCCCTTCATTGCCCGTATTAATGAAAGAAATCAAGAAAAAAATAAAAAATAATTAAGTATCTTGCAAAAAATTATCGTAAAATGGTAACATATTTTAGTTATAAATTTTGAAATTTTAATTATAAAGAGGTACTTATTTTGTATTTTTTTAACTTGTACTTAATGGTCATTTTGTCAAGAAATTATGTCAAACTGTTCTAATCATTTCTAATTCCAACTTTATTGGTTTATGATTTGTTAATTATGTGATTTTTATATTGTTATTTTTTTTTAAATTACTTGAGTAGATAAGGATCTTAAAGTTTACCCATATTTTAACCCGCTTATGTATTAATGAACTACAATTATAATTTTAATTCATGTTTAGAAATAATTTAGAGAGTAACTTTACTTCTAAAATTGCAAAATCACCGCTCTTTTTTTATTGAGTTTTCAAAGAAGCACTTAAATTTTTGTGGCAATCAATTAAATTTGGTGTTTTAAATTTAATATACTATTTTGGGAGCCAACCCTGATCACAGTATGTTGATCTGTCTTTAACCATTTTTAATTATTATTCTCTCCTGTCTCACTAAAATTGGAGGTACACAATAATCTTATAATAAGGAAAATATTTGAAATCTACTAAAATATATAGTATTTTTTTTAATATCGTGGTCATCCTTTAAATCATTTATACCCAACTTCTTAAAATTCATGTTTTTACAATTCTGTAACAAATACTCCCCTCTCAGTCTAAAACTGATCACACTTTTAGTGTCTCCCAAGTCCCAATGTATAATACTAATGCAATTTAACTTTTGATACATATGAATTAAAATTAACATTATAAAAAAAAGTATACATTAAGCTAAATTACACAAAATTTCTATAAAAATTATATTAAAATAATGTAATAAACTTTCTGTTATATTGTATTATTAATTAAAACAACAGATAAATCATAAATTTTTATATAATTTAAGACCCAATACAACTTAAAGTTTAGAAGAGTTATGTAAAATTTAATTTAAGGCAAATATTAAATATTGAGGGGGGAAAAACTTGGGAAAAGCAGAGCAGAGTGCGGTGGCCGGTGAGGAATGTTTGGGTGTGGACTGCGGAGAAATGGAATAATACTAATGAAGAAAAGTTTCACGTGAGGGCATTTAGGCGACCAATAAACACTGACAGTTGTATGGAAAACAGTGGTTGCGCGCCGCTTTAGATTAAAACTGCGCCGCGCCTGAACTTGTCGGTGCCATACTCTTTTCACCTTGCTACCCCCACTCTTTTCATTTTATTCCCTCCCTGTCCTCCACAAAAAGCTCCCTCTTCCAGCATTGTTTTTTTCCACCAGCACTGAAGCAAAAAAATGAAAAGAGAAAATTGTGGTAAATCATCAATATGATGGCTTATGTGCTAAATCGACTATCTATTGTCATTTTTCCATTTTCCCTTGTTTAATATTAACTTTGATTCTTATTATATGGTGTCTTCTATAAAGTTTTTTTTTTTAAATTTTTAATATAAGGGGCTTGATGAGGTATTAAATAATTTTTTTAATATATTCTTATTTAAATTTATTAACTATGACTCTATGACATAATAATGTAATGCAAATTTTAAAAATTTTTATTTAAATAGAAATAAAATTAAAAATGTATTCTATTTTTAAATAAAATTAATTAATAACTTAATTGCTTCTCTTTAATTTTGATGAGTAAGTTGGAAGTACGTTATACTAAACATCATAAAGAGTATATTGATTTCATGTTTTTTCAAAGGAAGAATTACGATCAGGTTTCAACTGTTAATGCAGTTTAGTTTAACTATCAATAAACCTTATAGTAATTAATTTTTTTATGTGAGACTTTAATATAATTCTTTTTTTTTCAAATGTCAATGGATGGTTTTCTCCCTCATGCAATTGATATGGGCAAATTTGGAAATTTAATTTGTTAACTTTTAGTCAGATTTAATGACATTTTTAATCCTTCCTTGTTTGTGAAAATGCAAGAAATATTTTATAAAGAGGATAAAAAAGGAGTGTATATCATACCTGAAAAGACAAAATAGATAACAGAGAACAAAAGATATATGCTTGGTGGAAAATATGACAAAAGACAATGAACTTTATAGAAAATGATATATAATTTTAGGAATTAGAAAGTCAAGCACCACCAGCCAAACACACTTTGATTATTTGTTTCCTTGTCCAGCCCCTGCCTTAATTTCTTTATCCTGCTTTTCATTGAATGCCAAACGGAGTAATAATTAATGCATTTATTTAAAACGACTCTCATTCACATAATGTGATCCCTATCATTCAATTCAATTCCTTTTCATTACTTTTCTCACCAAAATTGATCAATTCAACAAAAAAGTTGATCACAGATCGCGTATGGGTATTGTATATTTCAATTCATTACGTTTCTTTCTTATTGATAGGAATGAAAAAAAGGTCGTCACTTGTTACGTTTTGGTATTCGTTAATTCAATGCATGTTGTTTTTTCTTTTTTTAAAAAATAACTAATGGGTAAAAGAACAAATTGAGACCTTAAACATACTAAATATGCATTATTCTTTTTTAATTTTTGAAAACAGTATAATTTAATTTTTACTGTTAACAAAAGTTAACTTTAACTATTAGTTGATTAAAAAATAATAAACAAGAACATTAAAATTTACAAAAAAAATATTAATAAAATTTTCTTAGTATTTTTTCTACAATTTTAGATACTTATCAGTAATATTTAGATCATTGACTATATTTTTTTTTTATCTTTTTTCATTATGTTTTGTCAACTAGTATTCTTGTTAACAGTAAGAGTTAGATTGTATTGTTTTTAAAAATTAAAAGAGAATATTACATATTTAATGAAATTAGGATCCCAATACTTCTAGACCTATAATTTTGAGACTAATTTACTCTTTTATCCATAATTAATTGATGAATAACATTTTGAATATGGATGTTGAAATGAAATGAAATGAAATGCACAGATTCAATGGGAGAGACTTCTTGAGGAGGATGATGGGAAAGAGCATCATGTTCGTTGGAGATTCCTTGAGTCTGAATCAATGGCAGTCTTTGACTTGCATGCTTCACTCTTCAGTCCCTAATTCCAATTTCACTCTCACCAGACTCGGATCTGTTTCTATTTTTACCTTCACGGTAATATATATATAACTATTCATGTTTCTTTCATTAATCAACTAATTAATCAATCAATCAATCATGATATACATTATTAATACACCCATAATATGTCATGTGTTTTTATTCCCTTTTGTGTTCTCTTCTTATGTTTATCTTGTCTCTATATATTCAAAATAATTTAATTAATTTCCCATTATTCATGATTGTTTTGTCTGTGTTGTACGTAAAATAAAAGGAATCTTTTCCCCATCAATATAAAAAAGACTGATTGGATGCAGTGCATGTGTTCTTGAGGATAAGACAAAAATAAATTAACAAGGTAGTATACATATGTATAAATGTGGTGGTCCTCTTTGCTTGTTTGTATTATATTCATCTTCCCATCCTCTCAATCTTAATTCAAGTGATCAATGTATCCTATTCTCATCCACTTTGAATCTTTTTTTTTTATTTTAAAAATTAAAATAGAACTAATTAATTCATGGAGTCAAGTGTCAACTTCAATTTAAGATAAATATCAAACCGTTATCACACATTTGTATATCTTGAGAGAAATTTATTTGCCATTATATATGTATGTTTATATGTATCATTTGGATTAGGCTTTTATCTTCACATCGCCAAATTAATTAGCCTTCTCTTACAATAGCATACATTTTGATTGAGTCATCCCATGCATGTGATTGATAAATCAGGAGAATTAGATTTAGCTATCATTTTGCTATGCTAAGTTGTTAATGAATTTTTTAATATTTAATTGTGTTGTAAGAGATGTGTAAATAATTCTACCCAAAATGTTTGACACTGAATTTAATTATAGTATGAAATTTGAGATTATTTTGGTATTTGTAAAAATAATAATAATAATATGTATAAGGAAATGTGGATGCAGGAGTACAAAGTAAAAGTGATGGTAGATAGGAATGTGTATCTAGTGGAGGTAGTGAGAGAGGGGATAGGAAGAGTATTGAAGCTTGATTCTATAGGGAATGGCTCCTTGTGGAAAAGCATGGATGTGCTTATCTTCAACACTTGGCATTGGTGGTACCGTAGGGGACCTACTCAGCCGTAAGTTCATTCTATTTTTCTCTCTATTTAATTTCATTCATTAATTCCTACTTCTCTCTCTCTTCTCAATATTTTTTATATAAAAAAATTAATTTATAAATAATTATATAATTTTTTTCAATATTGAATTAGGTGCCTGTGATTTATTTTGTTTTAATAAAGCTTTTATATAGTGTAATCATTTTCAACAACAACAAGCTTTATTTTATTAAATAAGATCAGCTATATTAATTGAATAATGTAATTGTACTCTATTATTAATTAAATATTTAAGAATATTGTTAATTAAGAAATTTTATTTAACAACTTTCATGAATGTTATGTTTTGTCTTCCTTTACTCCTTTTAAGTTTAACAAGGCTGAAGGCTATTTGTTTCACTTTTTTTTTTTGGTGCCTCACATGGCTTTTTTTGTATATAGTCAAACTATTTTAAATAATTTTTTATTATCTTTCCTTAATACATGCCACTTTTATTTTCCTTGTATACAATCATTTTGAATTTTATCTTTTTTATGAAATCTTCGGAAGTTAAATCAATTAGATATATTAACATCTAGAAGTTAAAATATAATTCTTAAATTAAGGACTTTTATATTTTTATTAAAATAATACATAAATTTAAAATTAATTATATAATATTTATAATTCAAAATTTAGATAATTAGGTTATTTCTTTTAAATAATTCTCATACATATATAATTTTCATAGGAAAATGTAAAAAATTGTATTAAATCAATTTTTTTCATTTTTGGACCAAAAGTATTAAATCAGATTTTCCATAAATTTCAAAATTGTTTTTATCTTAAGAAAGCTAATCATTTATTAATAATTTTAATTTTTAGGGATTAAGATATCCAACCGAACAAACTATATGTACTAGATTGAAACAAAATAATCCATAAGAACCTAATTTAAAATTGAGAAAAGTTAGAAGGACATGCATGAATATGAAATTTTTCTTTTTTATATAATTATTTAATTGATGTTTGATATCCTATATTATCAAACCTTGTAAACACGCTTTATTTTTTTCAAATACTTTACTGTACTATATCCTTGATATTTTTTTTTGTTAGTTTTAAATTCAAAATGGTTTTAATGGATCATATATAGCTGAAGTAATTTTGTGTTCAGATGGGATTATATAAAAGTGGGGAATCAGATAATTAAGGACATGGATAGAATGAAAGCTTTTGAGATAGCTCTCACAACATGGGGCAAATGGGTTGACACCAACATTGATCCTTCAAAAGTTAAGGTCTTCTTTCAAGGAATTTCTCCTTCTCACTACAAGTAAGTTGTATAACACTCTCTATGATTTGTGAATATAGTATGACTTGTTCAAAAAAAAAAAGACTTATTATATTTTTATTATCAAACACTTTTTTTTTCTAGTGGTAGTTTTTGGGGTGAACCAAGAGCTAAAGGATGTTTGAGACAACAGACGCCGGTGCCTGGGACAACATACCCTGGAGGCTTGCCGACGGCCGTGGCAGTGCTAAAGAATGTACTCCGGAGGATGAAGAAGCCGGTGACTCTACTCGACATCACAACCCTCTCACTTTTGAGAAAAGATGCACATCCTTCTATTTATGGACTTGGTGGAGGAATGGGAATGGATTGTAGCCATTGGTGTCTTGCTGGTGTTCCAGATACCTGGAATGAGATTCTTTACAACCTTATTCTTTGAAGAAAAACAAAAAAAAGGGTCATAGAGATGAAATAGATATATATATGGTTTGATGTTTTGTTTAGCATGAAAGCCATTTTGATGATGGTAAATTTCCTTTCTTTAATTTGTCCTCATTGTTTGGCCAGAAAAATTAATAATTCATCCTGCTCACAATTTATGAATGGCTTAGCTTGTAATAAATTTGATATTTTATATTGATATTGAGATTAGTACTGATACAAAAATTGTTTCTCATATAAATGTTTATTCCTTCATATTTTGTTGTTTATTAGAGAATAATTTCTCACTTATTACTTTTGAAGTTAATTAGTAGAAGGGCTATGACCGCTTAAGTGTAAGATATCATGCTTGAGTTCGTGTGAATGCAAAAAATGTTTTTAGAAGAGCTGTTTTAAATTAAGCCCAACAATGCTTGAATCTTACTCATCAATCAGATATTTATATAAAAAAAATCAATTTTGATGGCCAAAACTATGATTTTATGAATATATATATATATATATATATAAAACACTGCTATTAAATGCCAAAATCCATTTTGAATATGAAACCATATTTTTTTTAAATATCCTTGAACCTGATTAACAAGGATTGAATCCTTTTTAACTTAACCTAATTTAATCCACCATTGGTTACAAAATTTCAATTTATTATCTTTTAGTGTTATATAATTAATGATGTTGAAGCTATCATTTCCAAGTGTGTATTGATATATTAATAAAAAGGCGAATAAAATGTATGATAATTAGGTTCAAATCGAATTATGATGTTATATATATAATCCTCATGTACTTATCTTATCAGATAACCACCAAACAAGGCTTTATCCAATTTATGGCACTTCTCATTGCCGTGTACAACACTTGAAAGAATTTTCGTTTGTTCCTATCTAAACTTTATCATATTTATTATTTTTTTCCTCTTTTTTCCTTCAAATATTAATTCAAGCAAAATTGACGTACGGTACTATCATTGAAGAACTTTAAAATGTCTGAAAAAAAATACTATGCAGGCGATATATTTCACTCGAATTAGTTTTGTGAAAGTTATAAAATTCAAATCTTTAAATGATTACTAACTACATATAAATTACTGATAATATATGTTTCACTCATATGCTCCATTAATTGGAAACTTTAAATAAATTAAAGTCACATAACTGTATGATATTAATTTGGGGGTACGTGTTGCGTGCAAAATAAGATATTGAATGGTGAAGGCAGCAAGGAATAATTGAGTTTGCTTTCAACTATAATCAAAATTTATATATATATATATATATATATATATATATATAAGCTAGTGAATGAATGTGCGATCCAGATTCATTTTAGATAGTCAAAAGAGTTACAGTAAAATGGATTATATGGTGAGGTGGTGGGAGAGGAATATAAGAATTATTAATGCAACCGTCTTGGTAGAAGCTGAGCACAAATTAAAGAAGTTTGTACGTGTGGATATAGACAGAGGGCGTAGAAGTAGAAACACGAGTTATATGACTTGAGCCGAATGACTAATTATATAGGTTGGCATATAAGAAATGACCTAAATAAAAAGAGGTTTTTGATGTTGACTATTTAAACCTTAATCCAAATGAATCAATCCAGGTTAGAGTTGGCCCACTTAACTCGTGTTTAAAAAGAAGGAAAAAAAAAAGGTCAAAAGTTTCTAGCATCCTTTTTTTAGATGGCATGAGTTTTGACTTCACTCATTTTTCACCTCTAACTTTTGAGTTTTGATAAGCATGGCATATATGACTCATATTTATCTAGGAGATTGTGGTGGATCATAAATTATGATGAATAATTATATTTTTTGCTATGATATATTTTGATTTTTATTTTATTGATATAGATAATTATGTTATGATGTAAATTTTAAGTTGTATGGAATGTTATCATGTGTTTCTATATATATATATATATTTAATATATATATATATATATTTTTTGAAACCTAAAAAAGGAAAAAAATGGGCTAATGAGTTGACTCGCTCGTTTAACCCATCAACTCATATAAAAATAGATTGAACCTAATTCAATCCATTTTCTTTCTAACCTCTTTAGTTTGCATTGACCCATGCATATTCATAATTACATCTAGATTCATAATAAGACAAGAGACTAATGCGTTTGAATTTTAGTTAAGTAAAATTGATTATTGATTAATATGATTGATTTTGATTATATTTGATTATTTTATAACGTGATCATGTTTGAATATTATTTTTTTAAAATTAATTTTGAAAAAATTAAATATGTTTAAATAATTTAATAAAAATTAATTTGTAAATTATAATAAAGAACATTACCCTTTAATATATAAATATTAATATAATTATATATAATATTATTAAATTTGTTAAATTTTATTTAACAAATAAAATATGTATAATAGTGACCCAATTAATATTTATATAATATTTAACATGGATATTTTTAATTATGAAAATTATATTTAAAACCTTATTAAAATTTACACACTCACTCACAAACATCTCAAGATTAGTGAAACAATTGAAAGTTGGATCATATACAGTTTTTCTATTCCTTCTAGCTTGTCAGCGATAATTGTAATTAGTCTCTTTTATATACAACATATACTCAATAATGAATTTAAACATATGCAAAACAAACAAACAAACAAACAAAGGGGAATATATATGTAAACGATGAAGATGACAAATTGACGATGGATATATACAGGAAGAAAAGAAGGGCACGCAACTAGAAGTGAGAAGCTGGAGGGTCCGGATCATCTCCTAATCCTCTTTCTCCTATTTTTCTCCTCATCTCATCTCATTTATTACTTTTTTTTTTACAAGTAATAAATGAGTTAATAGTAAAATTGATTCATATAAGCTACTCCGACCAGCTTAAAGGAAACCACAGTTTTGATACAAACAATTGATTTTAAGAAAATGGAGATGTTTGGGTGTTTTATTTTTAAAATCAAAATCATGATTTTGATTCAAATAATTGCTTATACATCCATATTCAAACAGACAAAAGTTGAAAGGAAGTGTAAGTGAACAATAATGTTAAAATCTTTTGCATTTTTAATTTGATGACATGGTGGATGTAGATAGAGAGTGGGCTATGTTAATGATAGAAGCAGTAGCGGAAGATGTTAAAACAAGTTGTACGTGGAAGCCAAAATTTGGATAACAAACATGTGGTCTCAAATTGAATTTACATATGTTGTTGTGCTTTCTCTGTGTGTTTTTTTCTGTAAGAGTTGAGCAGCACAAGTGGAAGAAAGTGATGACTATAATGTCAAAATCTATAAATAGCATTTTCAACATGATGGAACCAACCAATCACATCATGATGACGAATGTATGTGGTCACATACTTCAACCAATTGCGTTCAAGGAAAATGCAGATACTCGTACAAACCACGATTGCTCAAGTTGATCAAATATCAAACAACAGCATTTCAATTTTAAATCACAATTTGACATACTCTCTCCTGTCCTTTTTATTAGTTATATTCTACAAGGTTTCTTTTTATGTTTTATGTAAGTCATTTTTGTTGACATTTTATGCACAATTTCAAAAATATTCTACTGCAAATTCTCAAAGAAAGTGCAATATTCTAATTCCTAAGAAAACTCTTCTCACATGTTAAATTACTCTTTTTAAAATTTAGGAGCAAAATTAGAAAGCGAATTATTTTTAAGATAATTTTATTATTTTAATTAACCCATCTTAATTTTGATGAATTAGTTAAAGACAATTTATAAAAAGGACTAGAAAAAGTAGTCTCAAATCATAATCAATCAATCAATTGCTAGTTTGATCTAAGATTTATGGTGAATGAATAATAGCTTTGGGGCTTTTTTTCCCCACCTTTCAAATGTTTTTTCTTTTTTACAAAGTTTAGTTTAACAAAAAACATTTTTTACAATAAAAAATTATTTATATTTTCAAAATTCATAGAAATAAAAAAAATTAAAATAAAATAAGTTTGTGTTTATATTATTAACATACTTGAAGTAATAAATTTTAAAATAGAATAAATTGTAGTTTAACTTTATAGTATATAGGAGGACTAAGTTGTAAAACCAAACATGTTTTTTAGATTTTTAATTTGCATGAATACTAACAAATTTTTGAATAAAATAAGCTGTTTATATGGATGACAATTTATATATATATTATTTATTTTAAAATGAAATAAATTATTTTTATTTTTAAATGTAAACACAATGTTATTTATCTCTATCTTTCAAAGTTCAAATGTTAAAACATCTTGTGCAATGCAGAGGAAGTGAGTAATACTTCCTCCATTTATTATTATAAGGTACATTTTATAAGAATTGATAATTTTTAATATAAAATATTTGGTGAGGGTATTAATTATATTTTTTTAGTATTATCTATTTTTTAACTCATTAATTATAAGAGGGAATGCATACTTGAATTTTTTTCATTTAAATATATGGGCAACATTGGAAGTTTATTCTTTTTCAGAAAAAGTTATAAACTTAATCACATCTCTTTAAGTGGTGAGGTGGTTAGATGCATCGTATAATAAGGACTGAAAATAGTAAATAATTAGCATAGCCCATCTTGGAAAAATAATTAATAAGTAATTAATGCTTTTACAAATATTTAAGATCTCTTGCATAAAATAGATCAAGAAATGTACGAGTATATAGAGGCCTTTGTATCGCATGCTAATAACATTAACATCGGACATAAAAAATAACATCAAAATGATACTTTTGCCGACAATCCCATAAAATTTAAAGCAAATAAAAAATATGTAAGACCTCAAATTGAGGAGACTTAAAGGTAGGAGCTAGACTAATCTAGATCAAATTGAGTATGATCCTTTCAGGTGACAAGTTTTACCACAGTTTTAATGTTACTGTATTCTCAAAATTTAAACTCGAAAAATGTAAGAGTATATAAAACCGTTAATAACATGAGGATTGGTAATAAGAAATAACATTAAAATCATATTTCCCCCCAATCTTTCAAAAGTTAAAACAAATCAAAATTATCAATTCACTAAAATTTTGATCGGATTAATCATCAATCCAGTATTTCTTTTTCCAAATTATGCTATCTGTTACTACATATAGATCAATCACTTCAAAAGGATCTCCTCTTTCTTGTAGATGACTTTTTTAATTAATTAGTTAAAGTGAACCAATCATAAATGCTGATATGTCCATTCAATTGCTTCATTTCATAACCATTTACGTGAAAGGGAAGGATCCCATATATCAGAAAACTACATTTGCAGGTTCTAACAGACTGAAATGGACTTGCTATCCAAATAAATACATCAAACTGGAAATAGAAATTAAAGAAAAATTAATATAATTAAAGAAAAGAAGCACACAGGTGGTGGGAATGAAATAGAGTGCACTTTACGTCACTGATATAAATAAAGTGGTTTCAAACGACAAACACTTTCTGTAAAAAATTAGGAAAACTTGATGCTATATATCACTTTTCTTCCTCATTATTGTTTTGTCAATCTTCACACAAAGTTATAAACTATAATAGGTTTGGCAGAAGCTTAGATTTTTAGATAGACAATGCGAGACTTAATCGACGTTGGCAAAAACGACACCTAACTGAAATCGTATAGATAATATTGCAATAAGATAAGAATGTCGTTTTCGAGTTCCAATTTGTTTTTTTTTTTTAAATTCTCGTATTTCATTCAATAACATCTGTGTCAAGTAGGCAGAACGCTTATTAAATAAGTAATCAACATGCGTTGATCTTAGTGGAAAGGGTTATAGCTACTAAAGCACAGAGTTAAGTTTGAATTCATGTAAATGTAGAAAACGTCTCTTTAGAAAAGCTACCCCAATTTGAGTCCGGGAATGCTCAAATTTGATTCAATTAAATAACCATATAAAAAAGAACACTTAACTAGTAACTTTTATTTAATTAAAAAAAAAACTAGTAACTTCTGTTTGACTATAAACATTGGCTCAGCCAATAATGATTTGACCCATTCACTGTCAGAAAAATACAAATTAACTAGGGATCATCTATTTTTATCTAAAATATCAAATTAGCAAGAAAATTAATGAGAAATGTTGATTTCATAACTTAATTTAAAATTAGCGAAGAACTATCAATCATTCTCTAAAATAAGAAAATTAGCGAAAAAAATAGTGAAGGACTACCATCCCTATCTAAAATAAGATAATTAGTGAGAAATTTTGTCTCTAGCTAATTATTGCAAAAAAAATTTAACTCTTGACAATGACTTTTAATTATATATTTAATTATTTTTATTTAAAAATAAAAATTAAATTTAAAAATTAACAAAAATATTCATAATAAAATTATTTAATATTTTATTTATTTTAAGTTGATTTTCATTAATAAAATAATATTTTATTAAAAATATAATATAAAAATAACTTAAATAAAATATAAATATTTTTAACATATTAATAATTGAAAATAAAATTTTATATGTATATATATGTGTGTGTGTGTATTTTTATAATATATTATTTGATATATTTATGTAGTTAAATAATATAAATTTAATTTTTAATATAATGATTGTAAGTGCCTTCAGTTCAACTAGCAAAGAAGGAGAGTATAAGACTTAAAAGGTATAAGGTTAAGGGTTCAAGTCTTGACTTTGGCATAACCATAATTTCACATGGTAAAGAGCAAGTGACATAGCCCAAGGTGAACAATGACATGTCATGAATTGTCGCACATGTAATAGGTGATGGGACAGGAGATAATAGGTGATATGACAGTTGACAAAGTACGAGGTTATTGGTGACATGACATATCACAAGTTGACGCACACATGATAGGTGATGTGGCATCATTATTTTTAAATATAGGTATATTTAGCGAGAGATTAGCTAGGAACTAATCCCTCACTAAAGTTATCAAATTTAAAATAGTATCAATTAGAGATTCAATCCTTAGCTAATTTTAGCGAGGACGGAATTCCTCGTTAAATTTAGCGAGTTTTTTTTTAATTACAAATTTAGTGATTGCAATTTACCTAGAAAAAATGGCACTTAGCGAGAAATTTTTCTTTCGCTAAATTCTATTTTTCTAGTAGTAATTATCTGTAAGGTAGTAGGTTCAAATCCTAAACTGTTAATTTGAAGATCTTGTTAATAGACAATTTGCAAGGTTTTTTTTTAATGGTCTTTAAACCTAAAGACATGCTTTGATGTTGATAGGTTTCCAAGGCCTAACTTATATACATAAACTTCTCTTCACAAAAAACTAATAACTTATATTTTAAAAAAGAAATGAAAGACTATGAAGTTCATTGATGGGGACCATGAAAACTTAAACTAGTAACAAATATATGCTTTTGGTACCAACATGTTCTGTCTAGAAAAAGAAAACAGAAAGGCAAATTTTACCCAGAAAAAAAATGAAGAAGAAGAAAACACAGGCAAATAAAAAGAAACGTATATATGTAGAAAGAAAATGAAAAGTGGTGTGTGCTTTGTCTTGAAGTATACGTACTCAACAGACACAATTTCAAACAAACAAACTAAACAACTATCTTCTTCTCCGTGTTTGGAAGAAGTAGCTGGCACAACCTACAAATAAAGAAACAACTCATTCTCAGTTTTCCACCACAAACACAATCAAAAGCCCTCAAGTGTTCCTTCTTCTTATTCCTTTTTGGCCCTAAAAACCCTAAATAATGGGTTCACGTGGGTTTCAGAGACTATCATCATTTACTTATGTTCTATTCATATTCATAGTTGTAATAGCATTATTGAACCGTCAAAGATGCAATGCAATGATAGTGCTTGAACAATGGAAGGACAGTACAAGAGATCGTCATCAAGATGATGGTGATGGTGATGATTCATCAGCTGCAGTGAGAAGAAAGTGTAATTTGTTTGAAGGAAGGTGGGTTTATGATGAGACATATCCTCTCTACAGAGCTTCAAGCTGTGCTTTCATTGAACAAGAATTTGATTGCAAGAAAAATGGACGCCCAGATAGCTTCTATCAGAAATATAGATGGCAGCCTAACGCCTGTGCTCTCCCAAGGTGATGATCTTCTACTTTATCCTGCACTTTCTTGCTTTCTAAATCTTGTTTTATTTACAAAAACCAAAAATGAAGTCTAAGAAGTTTAACAAAATGTTACCTCCATATTTTACCAAAAAAATGTTACCTCATATTATTGTCCATTTTAAAGTTCTTCTTAGCAGGGGTGGTTTTGAGTCGTGCATTTTTAAGACCCGGATCTACCTAAATGGTCGGACCACATTCAATGAGAAAATGTATAATCTTTTCATAGTAAGTACCTCATATATTCCCTTGGATGTTTACAATGCTTGGTAGTTTTACATTATATGTATGTATAAGTAAAATTGTTCAATTGGCAGCCAGAAGAGAATAACTAGTTTTGATCCTTTGAACCACAGACTTGAGCTTATTATTAATGAGAAATATTTTTTTATGTAAACGTTATATAATTAATTATATGTTGTAAAGCAGATATAAGGGACAAGATTTATTGAGGGAATTGAAAGGGAAGAAAATATTATTTGTTGGAGACTCATTGAGTCTCAATCAGTGGCAATCACTGATCTGCATGATGCATGTTGCTGCTCCTCATTCTCAGTACACTCTTCACAGAGTAGGAGGCGTCTCCACCTTCACTTTGCCTGTGAGTTTAAATTCTTTTCATTTTCTTCCTAATTAAAGAGATTAATTTCAACAACAGAGTTTGTTTTTAATTGATTATTAAATAATAACCAAATATTTTGCAGGAGCATGAGATTAGGGTGGTGTTGTCTCGGAATGCATATTTGGTAGATATAGTGAAAGAAAAGATAGGGACAGTGCTGAAGCTTGATTCCATTCAAAATGGGGATTCATGGAAAGGATATGATGTCATCATCTTCAATACATGGCACTGGTGGCTTCATAAAGGACACCAACAACCGTAATAAGCTTCTCTTATTTATTAGTCTTACAAATTAATTAGATATTAAATCTTTTATTTATTTCAATGTTTACTCATGGATTTCATTGCATCATTCTCAATCAACCTTTTGATCTCCCTAATTAAAAGGACTTTTTTGGAAAAATAATAATGAGGCATGCTTTACATGAATTTCCGTTAAGTTTTATTAAAAGTTAGATGTTTTTCGGAGCTTTTATAATTTTTTTAAAAAAATTATAAATTATACCATTTTGTTCTTTATTATAAGACACCTTTTAAAAGAGAAGAAAATCATTTGATAGCGTATTAACTTTTTTTAATATTATCCTTATTTAAACTTATTAATTATGAAAAGAATGTAATGTAAATATGAAAAATTTTCATTTCAATATGAGTAAAATAAAAAACTTACTCCATTTTCAAATAAAATTAATAATTTAATCACATTTTCTTAATTTTGAATGATTAAAAATACTTTATAATAAAAACTAGGGTGGTATGCACTTTTTCATCTTCAATTCAAAGAACGGCTATGGAAAAGCCTAAAATTAGAGGCAAAAATCAAATAAATTTCATATTAATTTTAATTTGGATAAAAATTGTGTAAATTTATTATTAAGAAATTTATTAGAATTAAAGCTAAACTCTTTATTTGAACTTTTTCTTTTTTAAAAAATAAAAAAATCTTTAGATGCAGGTTACAAGCCAATCAGTATTTTGGGAGTCTTACTCCTTTTGTGTGTGTGTGTGGGGGCCACAATGGATGTTTTACTTGAAGAAACATAATATGAATCCATTATATTGGTTGTGGTTTTCAGATGGGAGTACATTCAAGTGGGGAATAAGATAGAGAAGGATATGAATAGGTTGGATGCTTTCAGAGAAGCAATAAGAACATGGTCAAAATGGGTGGACTCTAATGTCAATCCCAACATCACCAAAGTCTTTTTTCAGTCCACCTCCCCAACTCACTACAAGTAATAATCTCTTCTCCTCATTATTATTATACATTCATAAAACTATATATTACTTCTCCAATCTGATTTATAAGGTGGTGAGAGAAGTTTTTTTTAATTTCTACTTATAAGTTACATCATTATATTTTTATCACAAATTTTCTCTTTACTCTCCATGTCAATAAGAAAAAGTATGTTATTCAAGTATATATATCTAAAAAGAATAAAATTAAAAACTTATTGAACTTTTAAACAGAGTTAATAAATTTTAAAGTTTTTTTAATTCTGATAAAACATGTTAAAAATAATTAATAAATAGGATCAAAGTACATTGTTTCCCATAATTTCAATTTCACATTTCTCAAAGATAAAAATAACCCCATAATTTTGTAGTTAATACGATAATTGAAAGCATGACATCATAATCAACTTGATGATAGTTTATAATTTTTCCCCTGCCACTTGAATATTAAAAATGAGCAAGTTATGCATACTTATCGTAAATTTTATTACAATTAAATAATTTTTTTTCTTTTGGATGGAGCAGTGGTGAGGAGTGGAATGGGACAAGCTCAGGCACATGCAGAGGACAAAGCAGACCCATGGGCGGCTCAAGATACCGCACAGGTCCACCAGAAGCAGCAGTAGTAGTGAAGCAAGTGTTGAGTCAAATGGCCAAACCTGTTAGTTTGTTGGACATCACAACTCTGTCACAGCTCAGGAGAGATGGCCATCCCTCTGTTTATGGCATTTATGGTCAAAGGGGAAATGATTGTAGCCATTGGTGTCTTCCCGGCGTCCCCGACACTTGGAACGAACTCTTGTTTGCTATGCTTGCTCTACAAGGGGATCCAACTGATTAACTCTTTTCTGTTACATCAACTTTTTTTTCCTTCCTTCCTTCCTTCTTTCTTTCTTTTGTTTTTTTTTTTTATTACTGTTGCATGGCACCTGATATCCTAAGCCTGCCTCCTATCAAATTGAGACTTAATGGGAGGGGCTAGACTAATCTAGATGGAACCAAGTGTGACCTTTTCAGGAGGCAAGCTCTACCATAGTTTTAATGCTATTGCATTTCCAAAGTTCAAACTCGAAACCACTGATTAAATTAGAACAACCCCTTAACAATTAAACAAGTGGTTTTTCTTTTATCAAGGGAGATTTGGGTTAATTCTCAATAATTCTGATTAAATGTAGGGTTTGCCACTAGCTTAGGAACTTTCACAGCCTCCATCCTCGCACCTTTTCTTTTCTTTTCTTTTCTTTTTTGGGATGTTTTTGTGATATGCAAGCGCTATTCACAGTCACATATTTTTGTCTCTCTCTCTCAATGAATGCATCCAATTTATAATTTTTTTGCTCTTCTTTTTATGATTACTATGAATCATAACAAAATGTCTTCTACCTATCAGTTTTAGTGTCTAGATAAAGGCTAATCCCTCTACTCACAAGACACTAACTCCAAACTTGGGAAGGAAAAGTTTTGCATGCAAAGTTAAGGTGTCGTTATCAGGTTTTCCCAGAAAAACATTACATGTAAACAATTTTTGTCACCAACTAGCAGGTTATTGACTTTTTAAAATGATCTTCCCCTTTCATGATTTTAATTTGAGAGCTAATAATAAATAATATTTAAAGAACTACATCTATGGTTTTCATGAAACTTTACCATTTTTTTAAATGGGGAGAGAGAGAAAAGGAATTATGAAACACTTGCTTCACAAATAAGTTACCACAATTACAGAATGCATAATGAAGAAATTTTACATGATTAATAACTCACAATAGCTACAACAAACATAAGAACTCATGAGATATTCTGAAGAGGGCCTTGAATAAAAACAAGCTCTACAATAATCAGATACTTCTGCATGCAATGCAAACATAAAGCAAGGTAGTACCTAAGGAGCTCAATAGTAGTTGAAAACCATAACGCAATTTCCAACGTCTGTCATATCTCATATTATGTTCTCAAGAACATCTACCCCTGCCTTTGTATTCTTTTGTCCCTTATTGGTAACTCAATGGGTTTTTGGGCTTGATGTGGATGATCAGGGCCCTTGTAAACCTTCAGGTGGTTGAACAGTTGTCTGCCAAGCTGCATATATCAACCCTTGATTATATTAAATTCAACTGAAACAACATTAAATGGAGACACCATTACAGGAAAGCATGCAATATTGACTTGAAGCAATTAGAGGAGCATGGACCCTCCAAGGTGTGATAGTCCTTCCTGTGGTGTGCTGTGCCCAAATAAAAGAGGGCCACCATCACCTTTTTTATTTTCCAAAAAATATTTTCTCCTTGGATTCTGCTAATCCAGACACAGCAAAACCGTCATGTTGTAGAAAATCACAGGCCAATAAGAGATATAACAGAGGTATGATTCCAGGAAAGCCTGCTTCAAATATACTTAATACAGACATAGCATATATGCATGTTATACATGAATGTAGAGTTATAGACAAAGAATGAAAAAAAATAGGGTCAAAAATCAAGAGTCAATAATCAGCACACAAAGAGAAAGGAGGCACGCCAAGACAATACCAATTTTCTCATATCTCAACCTGTGTGACAACATCAAAATAGAAAAATATTTGGGTCATGAGACCAAGCAGTTTTGAACTCAATGGCTACACGTCTATAAGTCATATCAAAAACAGTTTATCACATTTTGACCAAACCTGAGGATGAGAAGCCCAGTCAGCTTTCCGAGATCTTTTACATGCTACAGGTCAATGTGAAGACAAAGCTTCACTTCAGCCTTTCCCACAGAATATTCTAATTGGTTATGACTGACCGAATCTCACAAATGTCATGAGAAATAATCATCTAATTTATAATGATTTATTTCTTAAAAAGTACCATTTAAATGCAGTATCAACAAACCAGGTAAATTGGGCATTCTTCAAACATGTTAGCACAAATTTGGCAAAACAAAGAGAATGGTATAAATCAATTGAACCTACCCTCCCTTTTGGAAGCATGCCACGAACAGCATGTTCAATAATTCTTTCAGGAATTCTCGCCTGTAGTTGGGCAAATGTCTCTACTTTCATACCACCAGGTCGTCCTGAATGCCTCCTATAAAGCTTTTGGGTCCTCTTCTTTCCAGATACAGCGACCTTTTCTGCATTAACCTTTTGACCCCAAGTTTAAGTGAAAGTTTCAGACTCTATAGCAATGACATACCTTCATGCGCATGCATGCGTGTGTAAATGTATTCTAGACCATATAAATAATTCAGCATAAAAGATAACCCTATTCTAGTGACAAAAAATAAGAAGCAGACTTCCCCGATTAAAATTTCAACATAAGGCTCAGACAATCCAAAACATTAACAATTGGGTGTAAAAATGAGTACTGTCATAAATACAGGGTTTTTACATAAAGCAGATTATCCAACTTCAGCTATTGTAGAGAGTCATGAGAAAGTATAAAATTATTAACTAAAAAAGGGTAAAAGTTACAATGTGCCAAATTCCAATCGAAAGTCCTCCATTGTCAAAAGTCGTTCCATGATACTCAATTATCAAATTGGATATTATCCTTAACTCTAATACATAGAAATGACACTATATTTTGGGGCGCTTCAAGTCCTTCACTTCAATGAACAGATTAAAAAAAAGGATTTGCAATTTGCTGAAATTCTCAACTTTCTTTAGAAGAGTCTTTTTTTTCCCATTATTATCTTTAAAACTCGTGCACCAAATTTCAAGTGCATTGAAATTTTTCTTACAATCTACAGAGAGTAAAATAACAGATTTCTGGTCTTCAGATTTACATATTATTTATTGGGGAAAAAAATTCGCAGCAACTACATGTGTTAAAGAAAAAGAATATGACAATTAAAAAAAAAAAAAAAACTGTACATAGTGCTTGATTATCCTATACCCCAAACATTTTCCTTTTGTTCCTGGTTGAACCTGTTCCTCTACTAGTCAGTATTTTAGAGTCTGTAGTCATGATTCTTATATTTCTTAGATACAAATCTCATTTTAAATTCGTACTCACTCCCCTACCTGGCAAAGTTTTCTTCTCTCTTCTTGAAAAGCCAATTTGAAAATCTAAAGCTCCTTCTAATGTTAAGTTCTTTGTTTGTACCACCAAAGAAACACTTCATAGGGAAAACACAAATGATATGCTGCGGGTATAGATTCAATGAGCCCCTCTAGCTATTTCTCATATAAGTATATGATGCGTAGAACTGATCTACAAACCTAATAACACTTTCTTCTCCATCGTCCAGCTATCAATTACATTTTAAACTACCATTTTTTGCATTTTTAGCAAGATTGAGCTCCAAGCCTCCGAGTGCTACCCTATTACTTCAGAACAATATCTCTTTATTTGGTTCAACAGGTTTAGCAACAAGGAGACAAAGCATGAAGTGATGAGCAGTTTTTTGGGATAACTATTTTGTTTTGTTGGAGAGAATGCCCACATCTTCAAGGGCATAATATCTTCACCTTCACATGTCATTAGATAGAATTGTGTTTATGGCTTCCTTTTGGTACCCTGTGCGTGGGCTTTTTAAGCAAATCATTTTATTTGGTATGGAAAGAGATTCGGTGACTCTTTCACACTCACAAGTCAAGGGAATTTGATACTGTATTCTGGAATTCCAGATGGCCTTGTCTCCTCTGATTTCAGCATACCTAATCCTCCAATATGTAGTACTTTCGTTTCTCTCCAATACAAGTTTCTTTATCCAACCAATAAAATCTTCTAGCCAAACATGACATACGTAGCCATACAATGACAGTGATTATATCAAAAACCAGCATAATCGAATTGAATTTTCTTTACTATTTAAGGAGTGAATCTAATAATAATTAATAATGACAACAGATTTGATACCCCATTTCATGTTAAATAATAGAGAAAGGTGCTTCTTCACACACATGCACGCACCCCACCCAGAGAGGGGGGCTTTCACAGTAGAGAATAGAGACTTGAGCGTCAATATGTCAAACTGTCATGCATAGGATGCATTCTAGTATAACCAGCAAACCAGAAGAGTCATGCTTCCATCACCAACAGATACATCGTGTAGTTTTAAATTGGGTACGGGAGAAAAACAGCAATTTACAAATGCGGAATGCTTACCACAATTACAAATGCACCCATGTCCACACTGGGAGTATAGGTTGCCAAATTTTTCCCTCGGATATGAATTGCAATAGTTGATGCTAGTCTTCCAAGAATTTTATCTGTAGCATCGACAATGTACCATGGTTTATCTGTGTTTACATGATCTGCTGCTTTTGGATACCATGTCTTGTTCCAAATGTCCTGTATATACACACACATTGGGGTGATTGATGACTTCTCATAAGGGAATACAAAGTTTAAAATTATACCCTAAATGCAGCGAACAATTCCAGAAATCGCAACCAGATGTTCCCAAAAAAAAAAAAAAATCCGAAGATCATGAAAAGAGAACGCGTAGGTGTAAGAACAGAGGGTAGTAAATTTTTGAAAAGGCAAGACTGAGCATTTTATGAATTTTAGAACTTTATAACAGTAAATACTCAGATTAATTTACTTCAACTTCAAAACTCAATAATTCGAGCTCAGACGTGTTTACTTTAAATTGGTAAAAATAAAAATAACTCAAAGAAAACGAATATTCCTCAAGCTCATTTCGTTCCATCATCAAACTAACAGAGATAGATTAACTAGACTAAAAGGAAAAGTGGGGACATCAGCACTAAAGACTTCCGAAACAGTACCGATATATAGCTATTGTTTTCATCAACTTAAAAATTTGAACTTTTCCAACTTGTTCCTTTTGGGTTCGGTTCCACAGTAACAGTTTAACAATAAATTCAGAGAAACTTGCTCGACATGTTAAGGGAATCCAACAAAAAGCTCGATGAGTTGGTTGGCAAAGAAAGAGAAGAAAAACAAATAGTTAACAGAGCAGAGTCGCACCGGCCCATTGACTTCGGATTCCTCGAACATCCAGCGTTCATCTTTTGGGATAATGGAGAGATCCTGGCAACGCACTAGAGAACTTGACCTAGAATTGAGGCGCGAATTGGTCGGTATAGAAGGCTTTGAGGATGCCAATTGGAACCCAAGAAATGCGGTTTTGGCATTCGCATCACGGGAACAAGCATAGGAAGGCTTAGCAGAAGATGAAAGGAATGCCACTGAAGATGAACCACAGAGCAGAGCCATCGATGCCCCTCGATGCCTTTTCCCGTTGCTATCTTCAGTTGATGGTTGGGATAGCGTTAGTGTAGCGTGGAGCCAATGAGAGGAGCACAAAAGTACCTCCTAGTGGTAAGATTGTTGGGGGAAAAGGGGGGGAAAAACTTTTATTTAATGAGGAAATGGAAGAATTGTTTTTTTTTTTTTCCGGCAATCTTTCTGTTATTTTTTTTAGAGTGAAGTATGTATTTAATCATTTAATTTTATATAAAATGTTATTTTAATTTTTTAACTTTATAAAATATTTTTTTATTTCTATAGCCCTAGCACACAGTTAGTTTCATCCTTATATATTTTTACATTAACCTTTTAAATATTGATCAAACATTTTTAAATATAAATATATTAAGTTTAATTTTTTAAAAATAACAATATTTGACAAAAAAATTAATTAAAGCTAATGATATTAGGATTAAAGGATTAAAAATAATTTATAAAATTAAGAAATTAAATTAAATATTTATATAAAGTTAGAAGATTATAAGTATACTTTAACCTAATTTTAATAAGTTGGTTAGAAGTAATTTATAAGGGAAAGATTATTTCTAATCATCTAACTTTATATAAGGTCAATTTGATTCTTTAATTTTGTAAAGTATATTTTTAATTCTTTATTAGTTTCAAATGATTGTTTTTTATATTGATAATTTTTATTTTAAAAAAATTAAACTTAATATGTCAGAATTTGAAAATATTTTGTCAATATTTAAAAGTTTAATGTAAAAATTTGTTTAAAAAAACTAATAGTGTTAAGGTTAAATGATTAAAAAAATACTTTATAAAAATAAGAAATAAAATAAAATGTTGTGTGAAATTTAAAGGCTAAATGTATATTTTAACCTTGAAATTAAAGTGAGTTAGTTGGAATAACAAAATCATCTTAAAAACAAATTAGTTTTCAAATATATTTTTATTTTAAAAAATATAAATTCGATATGTAGGAAGAGTTTTTAAAAAAATAAAAATATTAGTACATTTTTTTAGAATTTGTTAGATGACAATTTTAAAATTGTATGTAAAAATTACAAAAATTATTTAAAAAAAACCCTTGAATGTTGATTTATAAAAAAAGGCAGGAGAGCGTATGACACTAAAGTGTGGGGTGAAGTGAATAAAATTGACCAAAGATTGGTGGGGTGAAAAATGAGGGAGAGACTTAGAGCCAAAAAAAGAAAGAAAGAAAGAAAAAAGAAAAATGAGGGAGAGAGGAGAGAGGAGAGAGAATCGTCGGAACGATTATTAAATATAGGGCTGTACAAATGACTAGCCCGATAGGACTTCAAATTAACTTGAAATCTAATCTTTTTTATGAAAATAATTAAGTTAAACAATTTATGATTTAGTCTAGTTCTAGTATAACCCAAAGCCCAATAAAATTGGACTGGTCTTGTAGGACCAAGAGATTGGTTTCAATCTTGTCTAGTGTCTCACTTTATTTTTTTTCATCTATGTAATGTAGCAATTTATTTCAACATAATAAACTCAATTAATATAATAAAATTAATTATAATTATATAAAATTTATTACAACAACAAAAATTATAAGTCCACAACAATCTCTAACAACTACAAAAAAGAATTTCAATTACAACACAAATGATTCAAATTAAACAGCTTTTAACAATATTAAATAACCTTCAACATATCTAAAGTTTATTACATCAAATTGACAACAAATTTTACTAATAAAAGAAAAAGATTGAGGTTGGTCAATACTAAAATTTTACTCAATATTTATGAATTTACAAGTATAAAACACAAAAAAATTAATAAATTAACTTATCATAATAATAAATAAATTATTTATAATTATATTAAATAAATTTATAAGCTCAGATTGGATTAAGTGATTTAGATGCTCGATTTCTTATCTAGTCCAATCTGAAAAAAGAATCTAATTTTTTTAATTTTAAAAGATTAATTTTTATTTAAACTAAAAAGAACTGAATTTGTCTTAAGTTGGATCAAAATTTTTGCACAGCCTAATTGGTTAGTGAAACGTAGACCGTAGATGGTCCAATTTGTAGGTTATCCTTATTCAGCAAAGCAGCCATTCATGGGGAAAGAGTAGCTTTGCTAAATGTCAAATAATTTAATATTTTAAAATAATTTATAAATCAAATTACCTTACCCTTTTGAAAGTGTTTCGATCATATTGTTTTTAGTTTATTTTTAAAAATACATACTTGTTTCAAGAAGAAAATATAAATAAAATGCCTATTAAAATACTTTTAAACATTTTATTTTATTATTATCTATTGCAGAATGATAAAATTTAATTTACTTTTTAATGTTGTGCAAGTAAAAAAATAAAAAACACTTATTATTATATTAAGTTCGTGCAATATTTTGAAATTATTTACAAGGGAGAGATATTTGACATTCTTATGGATAAGTTCTGTTTCATTAATTTGTTTTTTTTACTCATTGACTTAAAGTTTGAGGCTTATATATATATAGCTCATATTATAAAATTAAATCAAGTAAATAGTCCAACATTTATTATATTTTGTATTATAACTAATTTATTATATTTTTTAATATATGTCATTGTATGTCAATGATAAATTCTTTATAAATTTTTAAATTTACAATGTAAAATCATTTGTATATCAATAATTAAACTTTTGTATATCAATATAAATTGATTATATTAATAAATTTTTAATTTTTTTTCCATAATTTCCAGGCACAAAATTTTTTTGGACTAGGGCTAATTTATTATAAGGACAAAATTATATTTAATGTTCAATATTATACTAGGAATGAATGCATTTTTCTGCTGTTTTATTTTTTTTTTGGTAAAATTTTTTCTTCGTTGTTTTAGAGTGTATTTGGTTAGAGGAGAGGGAGGGAAGGGAAGGGCTCTCCTCCCCTCCCCTCCCCTCCTTTGGTTAGGAGGAGGAGAGGGTTAAAATTTCCCCTCCCTTTCCCTCCAAAGCCTCTCCTCCCTTTAAACCAAACAGGTCCTAATGTTTTTATTGAGAAGTAGAATAGACATTAGATTCCATGAAATTTGAGATAAATTACAATACCAATGAGTTGTAGATAACAAAGCTCTGGAATATTTTATATAGATATCCCAACCGTTAAAAAATATAAGAAATCTTTTTATGAGCTGAATGTCAAAAAATATAAGCATATTTAATAATTCAAGGTGTAATCATTATTTTTTTAAAATGCCTCTATTGAATAATTACTTTATATTTATTTTAGAGTGAAACATTCAATTACAGAGGGATAAATATAAAAATATAGTATTAGTTTGAAGATAAATAATTATTTTATTAAGGGTAGAATTTAATTAAAAATGTTTTATATTTTTTTAATAGGGTAGTACTCAAATTTTGTCAAAATATTTTTTTTTGTAATTATAAGGAGTCTGTTAATGATAAAAAATATCTCCCAAAGAAGAGTTATGAATAGAGGGAGAGGGGTTTCTTTTTTTTCCTTCCATTTTCCTCCATTTCTCCTATCCCCATCATTTATTAATTTTATTATTTAATAAATAATTTGAATGGTAAAAATAGGGAAAATGAAGGAAAAAAAAAAAGGAGATCTCCCATGAACAGACTTTATAGAATGCATAGACTTCACAAGTGTGCAGCATTCTCCACAATTTTATTAAAAGAATTTAGATGCCAGAAGAGAAATGCATCATCATTCATCATCGGTATATATAATCATGGGGACGTGTGTTATAAATTTTATATTTTCTATTAATGTTGATTATATTTGTTGCCAAAATTTTTAATATTGATATATTGAAATAGATATTTATTGATGATATTGATGCTTTTGTTTTTGGGGTATTAGATGATATTGATATTTATAAGTTGACAAACTTCCAAGATTCAAAGATGCTATGAACCTGGAAGGTATGAAACTTGAAAGTCAAATCCTTTTCCATGCACTCATTAACACCAGTCTCCTCCCCCCCAATATCTTCTCTCACGTCTACTTCAAAATTCACATTCAGGCTTGTCGCACATCCTAACTATGAACATTATGGCCGATTCAGCCCTACGCATCACCTTCCCTTCCTCGTTTCACATAACACTTCGTCGTTCTTCATACCCAATTCTTCCTTCTCTCTCCCCAAAACCCCCAATTCTCAATCCTCGTCTTCACTCTGCTTCTCTAAGACTCAAAAAGTCGACTTGTCGTGTGAGCAGTGTTCAAGAAGCTGTTGGAAGTGCAATTAGTCTCATACAATCGTCTCCTCCAACGTGGCAATCTGCTCTTGCGAGCAATCTCCTAATCTTCCTTTTGGGTTCTCCCATTTTGGTTGCTGGGCTGTCTCTCTCTGGTATTGGTGCTGCTCTTTTTCTCGGAACACTCACTTGGCGCGCTTTTGGCCCTTCTGGGTTCCTTCTCGTTTCTGTCTATTTCATCATTGTAAGCCCAATTTTTCTTTTTCTTTTGGCTCTCTCTTTGTTATCTGACCTGAAAATACTGACGCCTTTGTGAGTCAGACTGGTTCTTCATTGAGTTCTATGCAAGAATTTATCTTTTTCTGTATATGGGGATTGAGACATTGTTCATTGGAGTTAATTGTTCTAGCTTTCTTAGGGTACAGCAGTTACAAAGGTCAAAATGGCTCAGAAAGAGGCCCAGGGGATTGCTGAGAAAAGAAAAGGACGAAGGGGTCCTGGTAGTGTCGTTGGATCCGGTGCAGCTGGCTGCGTTTGTTCTCTTCTCTCAATTTACGGATTTGGGGGAGAGGCATTTTCCCACCTTTGGCTACTTGGTTTTGTTGCCAGTTTTTGTACTAAGTTGGGTGATACTGTCTCAAGTGAGATAGGGAAGGCATATGGCAAAACAACGTAAGTAGTGAGCTCTGGTTCGGACCTGCCATTATCTACTGTCATCTGCAATTTGCCTATAGTTAGTTAGGTCTCAATTGAATGATTCTGAGTTCTTTGGATTTCAGCGCGTCTATATATTCTTTAATATTTTATTGGGCTAATTTTGCACTGATGACTTTTTGCTTAAATTAATCTCCTTTTCTCCTATCCTCTTATAATGCTATGAGGGGAAAGATGGCTTGTTGTAGGGTGGCTTGGGATGGTTTTTATGCCCGAATTTTCGAACTACTCCATATTGTGTAGTTTGGGATTTATATAATTTTTTTTCTTATTTTCTTTTTGAACCTTCTCCACTTACTTGCCCATTATTTTGAAAGGACTAACATCACAACGGTAATACAAAAAATCCCACCATTTAGGCCCACTTCACCCCATTAATGACAGGGTAAATTGTCTCCCTCATCCTGCTCTACCTGACCCATTAAACCACCTTTCTCCCCCCTACTTCTCTGTGTCCTACACAATTCGGATACTCACACTAGATAAGATGTGGCACTTCAAATTCTTATGGACAGTTGAAATTGTTTTGTATCCCCGTGACAATCCCTATGCTCCCTAGCTTTTTGTGAAGTGGATAGACTTTGTTGGTATGAATAAAATATAGTTACATGCAACTGATATAACATTGAGATGCCATGATATCTCTATTTTTTATAGTGAATGGACAATGTTGACTGCTCCCATCAATTACATGTATATTTAACTTGGTTTCCAGAATTGCTATTCATCTGAATTTTGGCTGGTGACTCCTGATTAGATGAGTTATTAAAATATGATATTTTATGTTTTACTTTCTTCCAAAGTTCCTTGGTCTTATGTTTCTTGTGAAATTCAGTTCTAACAATTGCACTGCATAATGTCCAGTTACCTAGTTACGACATTTAAGATAGTTCCAAGAGGAACAGAAGGGGCCGTGAGTGTTGAAGGAACTATTGCAGGAATTTTAGCATCTATAGTTCTTGCCTTTCTCAGTTATCTCTTGGGTAAGGTATGTCACAAGCTTCTAACTCTGCTTATGTTTATGGGATGGGGTTCTATGTGGCAAAAAGTTTCATCAGTTTCATTTTTTAAGTAAAGTTCCAGACAAAATTATTACTTTTGGGATTGAATTGTGTGCTTTCAAGTTTTGTGGTTTATTTTAGTTTTCCTACTTTAGATCTCTGATGTCATGATCACCTCTTCTAAACTTCTTTGACCAAAAAATGTCATTTCCATGTTTTAATTTTCATTATATTGCACACTTTTTTTTGAGCATATCTGCCACCATTTAGCCAACATTTGATGGTTGGTTGAGGAAAACCAGCTGGTTATTGGAGCAATGGTGGCAGTTGTGGAAATTAAACATTACGATCATCTGCACAAATCAAATAGGTAAATGTATTAGATAGTGCCATAGTAATGGTTGGCAGAAGTTAAGCAATTTATATGTTCTCAAATATAAGTTTTGAATGCATGAGACACCAAGAAGGTACTGTTACGTGATGGGTGCACATTAGGTTTCCTGGCTTGTTATTATTTTCTATGTTGTGTTCCTGCTTTAATACAACTGCAGTAATTTTTCAATACTTTTTGGAGTGGTGGTTACAATTTATTCTCTTATTATTTGCTTCATTAAAGATAGTGACCTCCACTCCCTTCTCTGAATGATGCAAGACCACCTTGGGTTACTGTTTCCATTATTATATAATTTCAAGACCAAAATGGATCTAAGATAAGATAATTTATTTACAGCGGAATGATAATGAAATAATGAATATTAATTACTCATTAGGAATAAATGTATAAATAAATAAAAATATAAAAAGAAATAATAATTATGGCAATTGGCACATACAATACAGCCAGTTGCTTCTCGCGGATTTTGATAACCAAACTTCTCCTTAGGAGGATAGATGGGGTGATTCAAGTGAGATCTAATATAGATCTAACTTTCTATTCACTCGTGGGATCTAAGCGGTCTGGGAAAATTTTTCCCATTTGTGTAGTCATATTGGGGATCTGAGCCAGATTAAATGATCTGTAGGAATACGATAGTGATGTAAAATGGATGCACGCATACTTCTTCTAGTGCAGACAGATGAGAATTTGTGGAGGAGAGGGAGAAAAAAAGAGGATGCAGAATAGAGATGGTGGAGGAAGGAAGAGACAGAATGTAGGAATGAAATTAGGCTGAGAAATGAAGGGGGAGATAAGACTAGAAAGGGGGGGAATTCTACAAAACTTGATGGGGATAGGAAGGAAGGGAGAAGAGACAGCAAATGAGGGAGAAAGAGAGTAGTTAAACCACATCAAAATCCATTTTCATTATCATCCAAGTCTGCCTTACATATGCTGCATGGTGGCTATTTATAGAAGCCATTGCTAAGATATCCTTCTTGTGAAGGAAACACCCTACTTGCAGCCCATTAAATACATGAAATGATTAAATAACCCACTTGCTAAATAAAGTAAAAACAGAAAGTAATAAAATATAAAAGCAAGATTGATTTCCTACTACGGGAGGTTTCTTCAAAATATATCAATTTTTCTATTTCATTAGATAGTCATTAAGTGCAACAAAGATGATAAACTGCTGAATTAAGCATGTTTTGTTGTGGAGAAGTTCATATTTTGTAAGTGTGGATGCATTTGGTTGAGTGCATGTGCCTGTTACTTGTTAGGAATTCTGGAAGCATTCTAACATTTATGCTGGAAATTGATTTAGCATTTGAGTAAGGCAAGGAAAGGACAAGTGTACCTCTTCCATGTTGGAAGGACATTTTGGCAACATTTTTAACATTTTGTGCTGGAATTTCGGTTTATCATTTCCTAATGACTTGTTATTCCTTTTTCATGAAACAGATTAACACTCGTGAAGCAGTTATATGTGTACTGGCTTCTCAAATTGCCAATCTTGGCGAGAGCTTCATAGGTGCTGTATTTCAAGGGAAGAAAGGATTTCAATGGGTAGGTTCGTAAAATTGTTCTTGGTTTGATGATATCTTCAGGATTGCCTAATGTACCTCTCCTGCCTCTTTTAGTTCTTGTGCTTTTAAGGTTGGAACCTGAAGGTAGGGTTTTGAGAAGTACTAAAATAATCAAATGTCAACCTATCAATGAGCTTTAACTCAGTATCACTGGAGTTGTTTCTAGGGCATAAGGTTTTGAGTTTGAATCCCAACCAAAGCCAAAATTAACTAATATTAAATGTCATCCTGAAACGTGGCTAAATTCAGTTGATATAGATGTAATTTATGATACCATTGCTCTGGTGCAAACCACAGTTTCAACTTTCAAACTCATTTCTTTTCTTCACCAAGTTGGAAAATGAAAGGTAGTCTGGAACTGGATAACATTCTTTTGTCAATTTGATGGTTGCTGGATTAAGTTCAACAGTTGACTTCTGTATCTGGTACTGTGTTCATTCTATCCTGTTCTGCAGCTCACCAATGATGTGGTCAATGTCATCAACATATCAACTGGCAGTATTGTGGCAATCTTATTGCAGCTAGCACTCCAGAAGTTCAATATGTAACTTTGCTGCAAGATTCTCAAGGATCTCAATCATCACAGTTTCTTTCTGGCCATCCTGCTAATTGCACTAGATCAGTGTTGATGAATAACACTTGCCATATAAAACTGACAAGTGTTGACACACCTGAGAGCTCATGTTTCTGAAATGGAGGTGCTTTCATAACGTGAAATCATGTGCCAGCTCAGTGTGGATGACAGCCACAGGCCCATAGCCATTTTTTGTTGATTGTTACCAGGTTTGATTCATTGACTTGATTGTAAGAATGACAATGGCTATGATAGTAGAACTCTGGTTCTTCCAATTGTAGATGTCAATTTTTTATTGTCAGGTTAATTTTAATATATATCTAGCAGATACCTTTGGGTGTTCATCTGGTTGAGATTCTTTTTTTATTAACAACCCGTTGGTTTAATTTCTCCACGCCCAAATCCTATTGATCTCACATCTAGTCTGTTTGGGTTGTCTTTTCTGTGGTATGAATTATCGTTCTCATGAAAAAGCTGACTAGATTTCATAGAAAATACTCAATAAATTTTCTTTCCCATATTTTTGATATCATACTAAATGCTTTTTTTTTTTTTTTAATAGCAAGGTCACACGATAAGGAGCGTGCAATAGCAGAGAGATTACCCTTTATATCAGAGAGTAATAACCCTTTATATTTCAGGCAAGGATCATTTGAGATTGTAATATCTACCCTATCATAGTCCACCTGATGGGCAAGCAAGTTGGTACAAGTATTCACTTTTTTTAAGATGTGATCAAAAGTGATGGTCTGATCTTGCACAGTGAGATTTCTGATCTTATCTAAAAAATGAAATGAGGGATGAATATGAGAGTGCTCGTGTTAAATGAGGATAATAGCTTTTAGGGAATCACAATAAGCTTTGGTCTTTGGAAGTTTTTCTTTCCATCAGAGATTAAGGCATTTGAGGATATCTTCTAATTCGGCTTCAATATTTGGATATATTTAGTAATAAACAGTTCATTCTTTATCATTCCATCCCATTTTCAACCATTCCACAAAGTACAAACTCCACAGACCATTAGTCCGTGGTGTCAGTTTTTGTTAGTTTAGTACATAATCTCCTTATTAAATATGTGTTGTTAAATATTTTCTCAAAATCAAATCCACTTGACAATTTTTCACTGAGCAAATGCACAGATTTCAGCAGGATGCTTTGCCTGTCATCATCTTCATTATTCACAAGTTGGATCATTTTTCCTGAGAAAGAAACGCAGCCCAAGAAGCAATCACATTCTTCACGCATGTTAAACAATTACATTTTTGTAAATATATAATAATTTCACTAGAAGTTAAACTGACTTAATCATCGATTACCAAAAAAGTCTAATCATGTTGTCCCTGAGAATTCAGTGACAGCGAATAGAAGGCTGGCTCCACTCAACTGCTTCATTCTGCATTCTTAAACCTTAATCCCACATCCACTGTCATTCTTATTAAAATTATGAAAAAAAATATAACTTTCAATTTCTACACTTTACTTATTTTTTGTTATATATTCTTATACTTTTTCAATATTTTAGGTTTTTATAATTTTATTTTTTAATATTCTAATATTCCTAAATGAACAAAGTATAGGAATCTTAAATCTCGAAAAATAAAAGTGTAAGGTATAACACACAAAAAAAAGTATAATGACTCATAATAAAATACAATCAAAATGTAGGAACTAAAAGTTATAATTTTCTTAAAATTATTCATATTTGTAATATAACTTATCTAGTTGAATTAAATTTGAACATTATCAGTTTCAATTGAAAGTAACATTTTTAGAGGTTGTTGTTGTTTTTTTTTTTTTTACATTTACACATATTTAAACTTAAAACTTTATATTTAAGTGATCATAACCCATTTCACTCATAAGAATGCGTGATGGTAAAACTATTTATATTTGACCTCATAATAAGTATGCGTATCTACTATTTTTTTTTTTAAGAAAAACCTCTTCATAATTAATTTATCCTATTTTTATTTGAAAAATATATGCACTTAAAAATACACAGTTTCTCTGATTCTATTTATAAGTTACATCTAACATGTTTTATTAAAATTAAAAAAAAAACTTTAAACCTTAATAACTTTGTCTTAAAATTTAACAAATTTTTACCTTTACCCCTAATAAATATTCTTAAATTCTGTTACTGACATTTTTCTTTAAAATATTTAATAAGGATAAAAATATAAAGATGAGTATTGAAAATCAATAAGTGTCTTATAAATAAGGCTAAATTTTTTCTGCTCTCTCTGCTTTATAAATAGTATCATAGGGTATTTCATCTTGGAAATCACTTTTTTTTATTGGTTGCATGACACCAAATTTTTTTTTTTTTGGGGCCAAGGAACTAGCATAGACGCCTAATATTATTATAAATATTACTCAATATATTTGTTTTCTTTGTATTTTATAACGGCTAGTTTGGATTTGCAATTGATTGCATGCGCGTTGTTATCTAAGTCTGAGTATTGTCTCATGCCATCCACGATGCAATAACTTGGTGCCAAGTAATAACGACAATTTATTAGCTTTGTAATCATTATTCCATGCTAATCTATTTTTTTAAGAAGAATGGATATATTATATTTATTTTATTTATAATTTTTTGTTCATTTTATCATATAAACAGCCTGTAAATCTTACCAAAATACAACTCAAATATCTATTTTTATTTCTTATCTGTACTTATATACTATATAAAATTTATTTAAAAAATTATACTATTTATAAGTTAAGCATTACGGCTTACCTTAAAATTCATGCAAAACACAACATCTACATTCTAATTTAATCAGTGAAACTCAAAATCAAAATCCAGACATTATATATATATATATATATGTATATATATATATGTATATGTATGTATGTATGTATGTATGTATGTATGTATCAATATTTAATATAAAGAACCACGCTGTAATCCGTGGAGACTTTAAAATAAGAAAAGAGGGTGATATTTAAACATCAAATTTAAACTTTAAAAGGAGACTTTTAGTCTAATTCGTGGAGGATTGGCAAAGAAAAATATTATTTAAATGTGATTAAAATATGCCATTCACCGTAATGATACTAATACTAATATTTGAATTTTATCAATACTTTCTTTCCAAACATCTCTCCCTACAAAGTTTCACATGACAATTGTTAAATTTGATTTAATAGGACATAGAAACAAAATTAAATGCTTATGTACTAGTTGCTTCCTCTATTTCAAATCATAAAACAACTTTAAAAAAAATTCACTATCTCAAAATATGAGATAATTTGAGAAAAATAAAATTTCATTAATAATATTTTTTTCAATTTAGCTTTTAAGTAAATATATAATTGAAATGACATTGTAGTATAATGATTAAGTGTGTAGAAATATTTTAAAAATTTATTGTTTTATTTTCAAAAAATAAGTTTATAAAATATTATTATTAAAATTTATTGATATCATTTATATTTATTGACATCATTTATAAATTTTATAAAACTTATTTATAAATTTTATAAATAAGTTTATAAAATTTGGAATTGAGGCAGCAGAAGTTTTTGTGCTATAAGTCTAATGTAACCAAAAAACACAATTCAAAGATTTAATGGAACATTGCGTTTTTTTTTAATATATTTTTTGCATTATATTAGACATATAATAGAAACTTAATCATGGTTAGCTATCTTTAGTCATAAATCAATCCTATGCTTGAACATTCTCTTCACGCGCGTTTCCTTTCTGGTGTGTGTGTGTGTGTGTGTGTGTATTATATAATTAGTCCTTCACATTAGCTCCTTAATAATTAGTCTTTAATCACTTCACACCAGCAATGTCGTCGACATCTTCCTCCTACGAACTTGTCCTTACTAGCTCTCCTGATGGTCCCATCGTTGCCTATGATGCTTCCACCGGAGCTGCAGTCGCTCGCTTCCCGGGCACCCGGTCGCCCCGTGGCGGCCTCACTGTGGCCGGAAACTGCTTCATCGCTGGGTGCCATGTGTCACCGCACACGGCGGCTGTTTCGATTCACCTCTACAACTGGCACACTTGGAGTGTGCTTCACAGGTTCTCGGTGCCTGAATTTGTGGCCCCACTTGCTGCTACTGCCGACGGCGGCTATCTCTTCGCCGGAGGCCAGTCAGGGAGCATCCATTGCTTCTCAGTTCCTTCTGGGGATGTGGTCAAGTCCTTTCCTGCTCACGCCAAACCCATTTCTTGTCTCCAACTTAGCAATGATGGCTCATTGGTCATTTCAGGTATATTTTTGTTTGTATCCCACAAGTATATTTTAAAAGGCTTATGAAATCCTCTTCATCTAATAGTAGAAAGTTAAAATCTTTGTTTAAGACGTTCAGTCTCTTTCTCATGTCTTTCTTTAATTATTTTAGACCTTTTTTTTAATAATTTTTCTTTTTTCAGATTAAAGCTTTATTCATACTCTTTCAGAAATAAGGCTCTTTCTCATTTTTTATGTTTATCTTTTTTCTTTCTTTTTTACCTTTCACTTTGTGATCTTTTATGTCTGTAATTGCCTTTGTATTGAACAAACAAAAAATAACAGGCTTCCATCACCTCATTCTCTAATGTTTTTTTAAATGCTGCAGGAACCTACTAATTATTTTTTCTTTTGATTTTATATTCTAAATAAAATAAAAATATTTTGATTTCATGATAAAACGGTGAAATTTTGTATTTAATACAATTTTTTTCAAACATATCCAAAAATTGTGTATTTTTATTTTTTTTAATGTATCATAAAAAGATAAAAAAAAAAAAAACTTTACCGCTACATCATTGTAAGATATAAAAGTGTCTCTCATTTCATATAAAAGTTAATGATCAAAAGAAAAGAAAAGGGTAAGAAACTATTGAAAGTGTTTTTTGAATTGGCCACGAAAAACCATGCAATGATGACAATCTGTTCATATTATAGCTATATAAAGCTTCTGCATTTTAAAGGTCATTCTATAAGAATTTTTGTGTCTAGATTGTCGATTGATACATGATGAGCGAGTTAATCCTTATATTCTTTTGTTTTTCTAAAAAGGTGATCAAAAATTGTAATCTAGTTTCTTGTAACTAAATATCTGATCTTATTATAATAATATTTGTTAAGAGAGAATGTTTCTGGGTGTAATTATGCTGGATGAGCACGTGAGAGCTCCAATTGACTAGTATATATTGATTTTAATGAAATTTCTATTCCAATAAAAATCTAGACCTTCTAGAATACCTGTAAGTTTTGGCGCAATGTGAACAATTGAAAAGTAGTGACATTACACAAAACATGACAGTGTGGAACTAAAGCCTGCTCTAAACATTCGTTAATAGTTATAAATTTGGTGAACATAAATGGAAGTTTTGGTTTCTGCAGGCAGTGATGATGGCAGCATTACAGTAATCCCAACATTTCAGCTGGTAGAATCATCAGACTCAAACCCAAAAGACTTGATTCTGCACCATTTCAACGCACATTCTGATTCAATCACAGCCTTCAGCACCGGACTCGGTCTTCTATGCAACTCCATACTCGTCTCATCCTCACTAGATTCCACCTGCAAGTTCTGGAATCTTCTAGAAGGCACCCATCTTCGCACAATGACCTTCCCTTGTCCCATAAACGGGGTGGCCATCTCAAACTCGACATCAGACTCACACTACTTCTTTGCCGCTGGGTCAGACGGATCGGTTTACAAAGGATCAACGAAGAAGGCTCAAGAACTGGTGAGGAAGTGGAATCAAAGCCACGTGGGGCCCATTGTATCAGTGGTTCTGGTGAATGAGGGGAGGAATCTGGTGTCTGCAGGTGAAGATGGTAGTGTGTGGATGTGGAAGGTTGGGACAGAAGAAGTAATAATGGAGATAGGAAATAACAATGCAGGAAGCATCAGTGACATGATAGTGGCTAGAGGGACGAGTGAGTATAGAGGGAAGAGTAATAGCGATGGTGAAGGTGATGATGAGAATAATAATAGGTTTAGCAGTTCATGGATGTTGAATAATAATGAAGAAGTGATGAGATCAATGAAGAAGATAATGGAGGTTGGAGATGTACTGAGTGTGGTGGAGGAAGACAAGAAGAAAGCCATAAAAATGCTGGAATCTGCAATTGCTATGTATGAGAGGCTCTTGGAGCTCATACTTGAGGAGGCTTTGAAAGGTTCTGCTGATGACAGTGATGAAGAAGAAGATGAGGAAGATGAGAAAGATGACAAGTAATAGAACTGATATGAACAGCAATACAGAAATGGATCTCAGGCTTGTGATTAGCCTTAATTATTCTGTGCATGTAATCTTCTATGTGTGTTTGAGAACTATGTATGTTAGGATGAGAGTTTAGTGTCCATTTAGATAGCACTTTTGGAATCTTAAATGTGTTTTGAGTTCAATATTCGAGATAAACATTGTGAGAAGTAAAATAGCTTTTGAGAAAGCATATTCCAAATGAAAAAACAAACAAGTTATGACTTGTAAGTATTCTTCTAAAAATCAATAGTGGTCCTCATTCTAAATCAGAAGAACTAATAAGTTGTTAAATATAACAATGTGAGTGGAATTGACTTGGTGTGGAGAAGAGTCCCACTAGATAGAGTTAGGTTAGAAAAGAAATATATAAGTAAAAAAAAGTCATAAATTCAATGCTTTAAGATTTTGAATTAAGATATGATGTCATACTCATTTATATGCATTCTCTCAAAACCATTAGGTGACTCAACTGTATTCTTTCCTTTTTTAATAAGCTCCATAGACCCAACAACTGGTATCAAACAAGGTTCCAAAAAAGGATCCAATGTAAAAACAACAAAAAGTCTTGGAAACTCACAAGTGTTATTAAGCTAAGTTATTTATAGTAGGTTGGCGTCTTCAAATTTTGGGCAAATAAGGGGAGCATGTTTGTACAATCAACAATAGACTCATACCTGAGAGGAGATTGTTGGGTTGTTAAATGTGAATAGATTTGGCTTGGTGGGTAAAGAAGTCCCATAAAGTTGAGTTAGAAAAGACTTATATATAAGTGAAACAAAAAGCCTTTAAACTCAATGCTTTAAAATTTTAGTTAAAATATGGTTTGGTGGTCCAACTGTATTCTCATCTCTTTTGAAATACTCTCCAAGGCCAGCAGTATTATCATTTTTGAATAGAAAGCTTCAAAATTAATATATTATAACAGTATAAGATAAGTTTATTTTAATAAAAAGGTATATATTTATTGAACCTTTCATATTATTAAAAAAAATACTTAGAACTATCAAATATATATTTGAATTTTATAAACATGTTGTCAAACCTAAAAATTGTCATTCTATTTTTTAATTAATATTAATATTTTTACTCAAGAATGTGTTTTAAATATAATTTTATTAAATAATGTTTAAAATTTTGAAATTGAAAAATTGCTACTTCTTATAGACAGACGTGTAAATAAAGATATTTTGATAGGGGCAGATAATTGGTTGCGTGGATCTAGCATATGTTGTCTCTGCTATTAGTTTTGCTTTCTTTTTTTTTTTTGTAAAGGTTTTTTTTAATACTGATTGCATATTTGGATTTTTTTAATTATTAACTGGTAATTTTTTATTAGAAATAATCTTACTTGAAGGCACATTTAAATATTATATATAAGTATTTCTCTCAATAAAAATTCAAACATTCATTTATCACGTTATAAGAAATCAATCCTTTAGTTGTATTTAAATTTTATTAAAACTATTGTTATGAAGGATTGTTTGCACCAAATATACATATAAGTCCAAAAGCCTCACAGTAGGCCCTCACATAACCCCTAGATAAAGTTATAATCCTTTCCCGTCAAAATTATAATTGATATTAACGGGCACTTGTCTTAATATTTAGAGACTTGACAACTTAACTTGGGGTCTCAAGTTTGAATCCCAAAGTATGCAGTAGTGCAACTGGGCATGCAAAACATGTCTTGTCAATGGTACCAGCGAAATCCCCTCAAAGAGGGTCTCACTTAAGCGGGAATTTGAATTAGTCTAGAGTAGATTAGGCGAGCAAAGAACCCAACATACCTAAACGCTTCAGGATAGCGGGTGCAAAAGTAAAAAAATAATAATAATAACCGATACCCAAAAAAAGTTTATTATAACATCCATAATATGACCGTACATGATTGAGGTGTTTGTAAGTTGATTCACAGGATGCTAATTAGAAGGGGGGAGAAATGGAAGGAAATTTCCTAAAAAAAAAAAAAGGAAACTTAGAACTGGTTTGATTTTGTTTTCATTTATTAATTTTAAAAATTATTTTGAAAACTATTTTTTAAAAATTATTTTCTTATAGATAGTACGGACCTGCCTAATTTAGCTAGTTGAAAAAAAATTAGGTTTGCTAGAGTTCAGATTATGTAAATACTGGCTTGAATTACTATTCACGCTTTTGAGCTCAAATAAGTAATATTAAAGCCCAATTTACTTCCTTCAAGTGTACATTTCTTTATTGGGCCTCCAATGTAGTAAACTGGGCTCTAAATACACATTATAGCCTCTTGGATCTAGATGTTGTTTAGACTTTCATTTACTTGAATAATTTAGCATCGCATGTCCTAACGTCTTGGCCTAACGCGTCATATAAGATCTCATCGCATGCCTAGACGAGTTTTTTTATTTTTAAAAATAGAAAATAATTTTTAAAACAAAAATCAAATGAGCCTTTAATATCATTTGTACAAATTAGAAAGAAAACTAGTTTGATGAAAAGAAAAGCTAGTTTGATGGATAAATTTATATATGATTGGACGCAAATAACAAACGAATGGGAAAGAAAGTCCCAAGAAAGAATAATAAAAAATAAAAATGACTATGATATTGATACTTATATATATATATATATATATAAAATTATCACAAGCTCACAAGTTGCATGTTTGGTTTCCATGTTATCTTGGATTCATGATTCTTTGCTTTGATTCTCTATTTTCATGTAATCAACACACTTGTCTGGAATCTATTGAATAATGATTCTCTCCTCAAAGAGTTAATCAACTGATCAGCTATCTTGCATTTGGATCCTCTCTCAACTCTTTTTGCTGCAAAGGGTATGCTTGTCATTTTATTTATATTTAATTAAATATAAAAAATAAATTTCACTTCAACATTTACAATATTATACTATCTAAGTTCATGGTTATCAACATTTATTCTAACTACGTTGATCCTTCCCGAGAGATTAGGGTTAGTCTAATAAATTGGGTTGGGTTGACCATTCAAAATCAAACCCAGTCCTACTTGACTTGGAGCATATTTGTGCAAATGTTTATATTATTTTAATTTTTATTAACATTAATTGATTTTATGATATTTTTTATTAATACATCATAGGTAATGAATTAATTTTATTATTATCATGAAATTTTTTAGAATTCAATATTTTTATTTTTTTTAAATTTAAATTGATTGATTAACTTGATATTATGTAAAAATAATGCATAATTGTTGAGTTTTTATAGTTTAAAAATGGTACTTTTGATGATAATATAATTTTTTAAGGGAATACGTTTTTAGATGAAGATCATTTAATAAATAAAATTCATCATCGGTAATGCATATTTGTACAAATGTTTATACTATTTTAATTTTTATTAAAATTAATTGATTTTATGAGATTTTTTCTTAATACATCGTAGGTAATAAATTAATTTTATTATCATCATGAAAATTTTTAGAATTCAATACTTTAATTTTATTTAAAATTTAAATTTATGTTTTTGGCCAAAAAAATTTAAATTCATTGATTAACTTGATATTATGAATAATTAATAATTGTTGAGTTTTTATATTTTAAAAATCGTACTTTTGATGATAACATAATTTTTTAAGGGAATATGTTTTAAGATGAAGATAATTTAATAAATGAAATTCATTTATTACCTTTAAATTTTTTTATAATTTCTTCAATATGGGACCTAGGTCTTCTATTATTGACTTTTGAGTCAACTGATAAATCATGTAATAGTTAATCCAACATTATAATATTTTATATAATATTTATAAATACTTTATATGATATAAATAATGGAAACAAAATATCTAACGGAATCTTTTTATGTCTCTAGAAAAAATATTAACCGTAATTTTTTTCTTTTGTCCCCCTTCTTTGAAGTTAGGCTTCTCCTTCTTAAAGTATACTCCACTCCCCAACAACTATGCGGCGCCAAAAAAAAAAAAATTATTCCATCATTCATAATATCAAACTAGTACGAACCCTCATTATATAGATGATTATTACCCATGTTTATTTAACATGATTGTATAATTAAAAACTTAAACTTGATATTACATGATAAGATAATTCAATTATCTTAACTAGTTGAACTAAGCGCCGCTTAGTTGCTATGCTTGAATTTTAACTTCAATTATCCATGCTACCTTGCTTTTTTAAAAAAAAAAATCCCAACACTTTTCATGCGCCATTTTTTTTATTTAGATGTTCAATATTTTTCTATGTAAATATTTGAATAAAACAATACATTTGATTATTACTAATATAATTCCACCACGGTTCAGCCTTGGTCCATCTATAGCCTAAATTCGTGTCAGTTTCGTATTGGAATAAACCAAAATCAGGGTTCTAATAGAAGCTGAACAAAATACTGATAAATTGTGAATTATTAGTTTTTGATTCACTCACCTAATATCTTAGAAAACCTGAAAGTATTATTATCTCTTAACTAGATTAAGCGGAACCCTTAGTATATGGGATCATTATTACCAACCGTTAGCGGCCGAGCCAGGACCCTGAATTAGCGGGTGCAAAATAATTTAATAAAAAATTAATATTTTTTAAAAAATAATTATTATGTTAGGATTAAAATTGTAATAATATAAGTAGTTTTATCATCATTTTTCATTTTAAAAAAATTATATTGAGAAGATTAATATGATCTTTTATTGTAAACATGCTCTTCATATCTTATCATGATTATTAAAAATATTATATATTTGATAAGTTTTTAAGCTTAAATATTTTATATTTAATTTAGAGAATGCAAAATATTAAAAGTAGGAGTACAAAATTATAAATTTTATCTGCCCCACTTGTAATATTCAAATCAATGTGGCTCCACCACTACCAACTGTGGCTTGACAATTACTTTACAAATGATTTTAACATATTTATTTAATACAATTGCATTTCTTAAAATTCAAAATCAAAACTCTAGAATAAATTAATTTAACTTCCTTAATTAGTTAAACCAAACACTACTTGATTAAATTGTGAATATGACTAACTCAAAGTTGCCGTAAGAGGCAGGTATTCTTATCCTTGAAGCAATTGATTGATGGGGTTAATGGCTAACTCCCATAAATAAATTTGTGAAATATAACTCTGGAATTTATTGGCCGATATAATTTTAATTTAAAAACATTAATTGAAAGTAGGTTCTCCCAAAAAAATCATTTAGAGGCGCTCATTTTGAAAATAAAGAATGTGCTTAGGAATTATTGAACAACAATGAGATCAGACAGGACGTCCTAATCAAATAAATCATTACAAAGACAAGGCGAGCTCACAGAAAAATCCTAACAAAAGAAAGAAACGCCTTTTTCAGATACGGAACTTGCTAGAGAGATCAGGGAAAATTGAAAGCTCCACCACATAGATTGACTTATCGGCTATGCAGGTTCAGTGAGATATTGTCTGGGGAAGAAGACAAGCTTGTGAATTGTTAAGAGTAAGAGCCACGACTAGATCTGAATCTGATTCTAATTTGTGGGACTCTCCAATCAAATTTTCTGACCCGACTTGTGTGGCTCAGAAAGGGACAGGATCAGCATAACTCGAAATGAAAACCCCACCCACCCCCCCGATGTGTTACATCCTCCGTCACATGTTGTTCACAAGAATTTGTGGAGAAGATGGGGACACTTCCTTGTTCTGTTCTGTCAATTTACACTGTTGTTGATTATTTCTTTCTTCTTTTTCTTTTTCTTCCAAAACCACCCCCCCCAAAAAAAAAAATTGTTTTCTTTCCAACTTCAAACAGCAAAAGACACGGATTTACTTCTCTACTTTTGGGATTAAAACATTGCTGGTTAAGTATTGCACTTTTTGCCCCCAACAAATTATCCAAAATCCAACACTATCATCCTCTAGTCTAATTAACTGTAACTCAGTCAAATTTCCTTCACTTAGCCAAGAACTTTCAGTTCAACAGCCATGTGATACTCACCACGAGTTCGAACCGTGCCTGCAAATGTTTCGACGATTGCCAACTCAAAAAAAGATTTCTTCCACTCAACTCCCCAGCGCTATCATCATCGGGTGTAATTAAAATTAACTCATTCAAATCCCTTCCAGTCAACTCAACTACTATTGATAAACTAGCATAGGCTTAAACAGATACATAAATCTTAAATTGAAATCCAAATCAAAATTTATCTATCTAAACTCCCCCTTGATGTATCTAGAATACATTTTGCAAATGTCAAGAAACATACAATTAACTACTATCACCAAATTATTAGGGTATAGGGTTATTAATGATAAAAAAAATCAGATGAGCCATAACTCTCTTTATGTATCAATGGGGGAGGGGGGTTGGAACTTGGAATAGAATGTTCCAAATTTCAGGAGAAATATACTAAAACCAATTGTGAACAACATACAGAGTAGTTTATCAATATCATCAATCTAGTCTCCTTATTAATGAATCTCGCAAATAACTTTTTCTGCCAAGGACAATTACGAATAAAAATCACTACGATAACCAAATAAATAAATAAATCTCTCTATTGGATTCTTCTAGTCAAGCGAGAATGCTGCAGCACCAGAAGTACTATACTCTCCCTTTATTAATGCTGCTTTCTTTGGCTAGTTCCCAATAAGAAATGCAGAGTTCACAGCATACACTCTTTAAGAGACTGAGACAACCATGAACAGAAACATGTAGCTACATAGCTACTAAAGTTAAACTTCTCTAACTGAGACAACTTCTAAAGCTTGCATCCCAAGATAACAGAAACCAAAAGGCAGAAAACCTAAGACACCATGGGAATGGTCTAAGAAAAGAAATTACTGTTGTCTCCGCCGCTTTGATAATGTGTTATTTCTCTGAGCACAAAGAGGTTGTTGGACGTGAGGAAAGCATATGTCAGGAACAAACATAGCATTGTTAGCGGATGAATACCGAGGATCTTTCGGCCAATACAAGCCTGACGCTGTAGGAGGGGAAGGGATCTGAGGAACTGTCCAAGACGAATCTGGGACACACCCCAAGAGATCATCGTTATCCATTTCCTCTTCACTAGATCTCAAAACAGAAGAATCAGAATCCCCAAGCTTACTGCTCTCAGCCTGAAACAGCTCATCAGGAAAAGACCAAGGGAAAGGAAAATCAAGTAAGCATTATTAACTATCAATATAAGGACATATCATGCATGAGGCATGAACAACACTATCTTATATATCCTAATATATCATACATGAGGCAAGCCTTGTGCGATGTGCCTAAAGTTCAGTACATGGTTGATAAATACCAAAAAAGGCACAACATATATAATTACATGTAACTGCAGTCACATGAAAAGATATTAACCAAATAGTACAACCACCTTCCATGTCTATACCCAAAACTATGTGAGCGAATACCTTCTCCTCATCATTACTCCAATCATGTTAAAGCAATTTAGGTTCATTCTTGGTAAATCTTAATTACATTCCAATTTTGAAGGCGCTAATACACAGCTTTGTAACAGGACAACTGTCTATTATTCATATTTACATTCTTCAACCACGAGGCTGTAACAGTAAGTCATTGTTGCCTCCAACCAGTTTCAGTTTTAATTCAACTTTCACAGCTTGCAGTATTGAATTCCAAAAAAATAACAAGAAGAAGAAGAAGACAATTTTAGAAATGTGTTTAGTGAAAGATGACTGAGTATTCTGTAACCTTACTACACATTCTTAAGTTCAAATGCGATGCAATTATCTAATAGGAATAGGGGCCTCTAGTTCTACATCAAAAAGAAGAGAACACCACTAATAGTGGAGAAAGAAAACATCCTAGCTTATAAAAGACGAGGCACACGCACCTACTCTCACTGAAATTCTTCTGCCTATCCTACTCCCACGCTCAGCCTAGCTATAGTTAACCATCAGCCTAACTTACTTCTAGAACTCCTCATCAGCTTCCACATGCCCCTCAACAGAGTCTTCTTTCCTAAACCAAATTCATGCTAACTGATGCTTGCTTTCTCCACTACCCCATAGGCTCTCCTAATTGGAGGCCCACCGTTCGCAAAGGTCCAGTTGTTCACAGACAGAAAGGTTTGAAAATAAGGGGCAAAATAAACAAAAGAACTCAAGGTTAAATCTCATTAGTAACTCCACAAAGTAAACAACATCACATAATGCTCAAGCGAAGCATTTATTATGTTAGATCATTCCTGTGACCTTCTCAGAGCAAAGCTCTAGGAAGGAAATTCACAAGAACAAGCACTTTGATCAATCCATAACGTATCCTCAGTTCCTCATAACACAACCCCATTCCAACCCTGCCAGCAAGACCATAGTCACAAAATTCCATGATTTGAAATACATTCAAGAGAACAAAATCTAGATGTTCTCAGATGATTTCCCTGCAAACTAACAAGGAATCCTAAGAAAACAGGGTGTAGTGTGACAGGATAAAAATGTAGTAGTCAAATATCCTACCAAAACAGGATCAGGATTATCAAGGTCCCTTCTTAATCAGTGATGCTCTTGTCCAGCACAATCATTATATAAACAAAAACCCTTTCATAGTTCATGAACATCGATAATTACTGGATATGCATAAGCAAGGGGCCAAGTACAAATGATTTCTCTACACACTAACAAGGCTCTCCTGTAGGTAGTGTGATAGGACAAACATGTTAGTAGTCCAATATCCTAAGAAAACAGGGTCAGGATTATCAAGGTCCCTTTTCAATCAGCGATGCTCTTGTCCATCACAACCATTACATGAACAAAAAGCCTTTCATAGCATATGAACATGGATAATTACTGAATATGCATAAGCAAGAGGCCCAGAAGAAATGACTAGCATGAGTGTTGCGCATTTGCCTAATCATGCCCACAAGTGCATGTAAAAGAGAGCAGCGTCCGGGTTTATCAATTACTAAATACAACAAAAAGTGAATTAAGAATACTACCCGCAACTATAATCCAAAAATTAGACAGAAAAAGACTCCATAGAGCAACCTATGACAATTAAAGGCACCATAATATGAGCCTTGAGTTAGGTATAGACAATTCAAGGATGTTATTGTTTAGCTAGTATAAACATACCTTGGATGGTCCATTGGCACTATCCATAAAATTGAAATTGTGACTGAATTCATTAAAACCAAAGAATTCATCAAGCGGCCAGTCAGTTGAACCACCGCCATAACACACTTTGGCTGGCTGAAACTCCTCAATTCCTCCAATTTGAGTAGGTAACAATTCATTGTATTCAGGTGGCTGAGCCGTTGGAGAAACCTTCTTGGAGACAGAAGTGGATATTGTATCTGACACTTTACCCCCAGAATCTGACTTCACAGAGGATGATTGAGCAACAGGCTCAGTAGCTTCAAGGCCCACTCTTACACCAGTAAGCAGAAACCTCTGATGAGCAGAGACATAGGAATTTGCTGTGTGTATTGCCACATCACATTTTCTGCATAGTAGAGCTCGGTCCTCCAGACAGAAAAAATAGCCAACCATTTCCTGTAAAATGTAGCAGGCTCTTGTGACAAGCTTATCCATAATGATAAAGGTTCCTAATTTATGCAAACAGAACGAGAACAGATAAGAAGTTAAAGTTCTCATCATCAAGAACAATGCCAACAACAAATTCAGTCACAAAAACTTGGCCCGTAATCAAATGTAAAAAGGAAGGCTTCCTTGATTCTCAAAGGAGAAACAACATTTTCAAGTAACGAAACTTAGCTACTGGCTAAAGTCTCGTTTGCAAGGAAGAGAACGCATCACAGAATTTAGAAGAAATCAGCTGAACCCTATCTCACATGACAGTAGGTTATGGTTACCTCGACAACAATTGAAATGCTCGGATTGAAGCATGACTATCTCACATGAGTTCTTTGTACAATTAGAAAGTGAAAGGAGCTGTAATTCACTCGTAAATTTAGTTTTCTTTTTTCGTAATTACAAACAAAGATTTAATATATTGTTTTAAGTGGTTGAGACTGAATAATACAAGGGGAAACAAACGAGAAGCAGCGAATGAGAAGGAAAGAGGGGGTAAAACCGTAAAAGGCGATAGTTCAGTTCTTAATCAAGTCAATGAATTACACTTCTTATTCTAAATAAAATGGTTCTTTTCTTTTAAAATTCAATTTTATGTTTTTTATTAACTTTCTTAAAAGTACGTCCGGTACGAGAATTTCCATATCCAATAAGAATAGCTCGCAGATCGTATCAGGAACTATTAGACTAAACATATATGCGAGCTTCCAAACATCCGTAGGTAACCAATCATATTACATAAAAATTTGTGCAATATAAGCAGATCAGGCGTGAAAAATCCAACAGCAGAAACGTTGCTAAATTCTTCTAAATACTAGTCCGATGAAATACTACAGACACAAGCTCAATCAACACAAAATTCTACACAATCTAGAGATTTCTTCAGAGAAACGAAAGCTATTAAGAAGATACCTGACAAATATCACATTTGGGCATGTGAGAGGAGGAGGTAGATAGAGGAACCCTCTGATGCTTGGTAGCCAGCTTGTTAGCTGCATGAACCTTCTCGTCGCATTGCCGACATAGCGCCGCCTCATCCGCGCAGCACAGAACCTCCGCCTCCGCCGCCTCACACACGTTACATTGAATCTTCATCTTTTTTTCGACCACAATCCTAATTGAGATTCTCTCCTTTCCCACCACAAAAAAAAAAAAAAAAAACCACAGAAATTTGAATAAATAAAAAAAGTTGATTCGTTTCCTTCTCTGAGAAATTTCTCCACCTCCTTTAGAGCTCAACCGCATCAAGCTTGGAGTTATACATATACACAGCTATTCCAAAGAGTTTTCAAGCGACAAACGGAATGGCATCCCGAGACAGAGAGAGAGGGAGAGGGAGGGAGGGAGGGAGAAGTCAAGGCAATCACCAATGCAAGAGCAGGCATAAAAGAAGGAAAGAATCGAAGGGGGGATATTTTTTGGAGGCCCCGAACTACATGTCCACGTGGCAGTAATCGGGTAGTGTCGTGAGTGGGGAGACCGACCTGGCCCTGGAACTGTAAGAAATAAATTTAAAAAAAATCTAAAATATACATTCAACCCTTTAATCTCACACAAAATTTTATTTTAATCTTTTTTTTTATAAAATATAATTTTAATTCTTTAATTTTAACATAGTTCCATTATTAAAAATTTATATATTAAATTTTTAAATATTAAGATAACATTTTCAAATATAATTTTTTATTTAATTTTTATAATTTTTAAATAAAAATTATAATTCATTAAATAAAAAATTTTAAATAAGTTTGTTATTTTAAAATTTATTTTTTAATAATAAAAATTATAATTAATAAATTATAATTTTTTATTCAACTCTTGCGATTCACATAATAAAAATTATTATTCTTCATTCAAAATTATTATTATTATTTATTTTTAATAAATAAAAATTACACTTGATAAGTTATAATTTTTTATTTAATTTTTTTAATTTAAAAAATAAAAATTATAATTGAGACTTATTTATTTAGTAATAATAAAATAATTTTTTACTTTAAAATTTATTAACACAATAGTCCCTAAAGACTTTTAAAATTATAATATTTTAAATGATTCAAATTATTATTTTATAGTTCAGAGGAATTTTATTATTTTTTTTTAGTTTAAAATTTTAATATTTAAAAAAAGTTTCTTTCTTCAAGGATTACATGAAGCCAAGGACGTGAAATAAATTACACATTTATTGATGGCAAAATTTGCTCAAAATTGCCAACACAATGGATTGAATAAAATAGGTTAATCTGTCACAATATAATAAATTAATATTTAAATTTTTATTAAAAATACTCATATTCAGTATTTAATTATATTTTAAATAAAATTATCTTTAACAAAAGAACATTTGTTCATAATAAAAAAATTAAAATTTAAAATCTTATATAAATTAAATTGATCATCTATAAAAAAAATTAGATGTTGATTTTTAAAAAAAGTATTATGAAAACAAATCATTGTGATACTTCTTGAAATTATTTTTGGTTTTTAAAAATATCACATGACTTTTAATGTCATAAAACTATTTTTATTAAATATAAAAATTACATATAAATTTCAAAGAGTATGAGACTTAAGTCTTAACATTACTAAACATATAAATAAATTGTTTGTATGATTGTGAAGTATGATTTTAGTTTTTTTAAATATTGGTTATTAGTTTTTTTTAACCTTGAAATCTTAAATGTAATTTTTGTTTATCAAAAACCAGTGCATTAATTAAAACATTGTTTGTTAACTTAAACTTATTGATTTTCTTCTAAATATACCATGTAAGCCACTTAAATTTTATTTTTAATACAAATGTGACGAGAAAAATTGGTTATTTTTTGGTTAATGACCTTATGATCTGGTCACAGTCCAGCTTGATAGGAAAATGTTGCAAGTCCTATCTCACAGTTACCTCAAACATTTACGCTTGCCCTACTGATCCCTACATGATTAAAAAAAAATAGTTCAACTTTAAAATATATATATATATATATATTATTGCTATCTTAAAAATAAAGATATATAATCATGCCTTGTATTTTTTGTCAGATAAGGAGAGGAATTATCAAATAAACGTCCAACAATACGTTTAAGAGGAGAGTTTAATGCAGACCAATATAAATTGTAAATTATATTATTTATAAGTTGTACATACTAGAACTCATGTTAATTGTTTTTTCTTTTTAAAAAAATGTAAAAAAAATCCAATTTATAATAAATTATAATATTCGCAAACGACGATAGCGTAGGTTGATATTCAAACATCAGATAATATAAAATTGCTGCGTAATTTAGGTATAGTATAATATAAGATATAAAATATGTAAGGAAAATACAAATACTGATTCCCATAGTTTTGGTGAATTTTGGTATTAGTTCTTTTTTATTTATTTTTATTATTCTATGTCTCTCAAACTCCACTTGTTTACATAAATCACGTTACTTCTTTGTGCTAACTTGTTAAATTATAATGAGTGGCATAAAAAATGAGTAGAAAACAAGAAATAAATAAATAAAACATTAAAGTAGAATTTTTAAACGCACAATGCATGAAACTTCAATAGAAAAAAGGGAGAAAAAAAGACATGGCAAATAAAGAAGACATACAAAAAGGCTAGTAACTATTTTTTTCATATAATGTTTAACTCATTATAATTTATCAATTTGACAATAAAATTATATATACTAGTACATTAACAAATTTAACTCTGTTAATGACAATAAATATGTTATAGACAATGAAATTTAAAAAACTTGGAATAAAAAAAATACAGAAACTAGTATAGCCAAACATATTAAAAGAATAGGCAAAAATATTTATGTGTGTGCAGTTATGCATTGAAGTTACATGAGTGGTTGATAATGTGATCCATGGGGATGACGCCGCACTACATGAACAACTTATGTGGGACCGAGGTTAGGTTCTTGGGGGCCGCATTTTATGAACGCCTGAATAGGGGTCCCACGGATGAGGGCAAAATGGGAACAAAGGTGAGAAACATGAGTCGGATTTTGTTGGTTGTGTTTTGGAATCTTGTGCACTCAAGCCCAGCTAAAATGGACGCTGGAGAAAGCTTGCTCTAAATTTTGACTCTAAACAATAAAGTAAATAGTACTACTTTTTACCAACCGAAGAAAAAAAAAAACTACTTTTATTATAGTGCATACATGATCCCCTATCCCATTATAAATTTCAATTTTATTGAATTTATAAATCTATAAATAAAATGCAAGATGGTCAGAGAATTCACTAACTCGAGGGTTTTATTTTTTTTTGAAAAAGGAGGCCAGGTGATTAAAATTCCAAAATCAAGGCTACAAAGCAGGAGGAATTTTTTTTTTTTTTACTAAATTTTATGCATAGCTAGGCCATCTTCAAGGCTTGAAGTTTATAGATTGTGTACGGATAACCCTTTATGGTTTTTAAAACTTTGCAACAACTCTTTAAAATTTTATACGTATACAAACATTTTGTAAATATAAATGAAATTAAGATAAATATAACTTTTGATCTTTATACTTTTCTCATATTTTGCTTTTGATCTCTAGATTTTTTTTAGTATTTTAGGTCTCTATACTTTTATTTTTTATTATTTTGGATTCCTCTATAAACAAAGTATAATAACCTTGAAAGGATCCAAAAAAATGAAAAACAAAAATGTCAGAGCCTAAAATTTAAAAAAATATAGAAAATAAAAACAAAACGTGAATAAAATACAAAGACTAAAAGTTATGTTTACCCAAAAAAATATAATATATTTATTCATTTTTATTTATAAACAAAGCTATAAATTTTAAGAAGTATTTATCATTTTTTAAATTATTTCTAATAAAGTTAATATTTATTTTTACTAGATAAATTTGTTTCATTAATTGCAGAGATAATCTAATCCAAAGTTTTCAATTTAAAAAATAATTATATATTTAACCAACCTTTTTAAACAGTAAAAATTAATTATTTTTTCTATATTTGAAAATGGATGGAGTAACTCTCAATAGTATTTGTCCCTTCCACTATATTGCGGTCCTAAGTATGTGAATTAATTAATTAATTACTCCTTTTAGTCTTGAATGAGCATCAAGTCTTGTTATAAGGTAAAAAAAATATTATTATTAATCTTATTTATAAGATGCTCTATTATTTTTATACTCATCTTTATCTCTTTGCCCTTATTAAATGCTTTTTATCCTTAATAGGGGCAGGGGATAGAACTTATTATTACCTTCATCTCAAATTGTAAGATATTTTTAAAAGAGATTCATCATTTCAAATTACAAAATGCTTTAATACAACCAAAGTTTTATTAATTATACTTTTTCAATATTATCCTTCCTATATATGCTTTCTCATAAATATTCTTTTATCAATGAAGTATTAAATAAATAATATTTTTAAATGTTTATATTTGTGTCTTGAAAAAAAATTGTGACATGGATTTAATTACCTTTATTAGTATATGTAAATATCTTATAATTTTGGAATGAGTGAGCAATGTCAAAGACAAAATTAATAAAGTTTAAGATTTTCATCAATTTTAATGAAACATGTTAAAAATTACTTATAAATATGATAAAAAAATAAATCAACTTTACTTAATTTAACCTTATAATTTGGGATAAAACGAGTAAATTTTAAGATAAAGTTAATAAAGTTTAAGATTCTCATTAGTTTGATTAAGCATGTTAACAATTATTTATGAATAGGATCAAAAGTAATATAAATCAAGTTTAATTTATTCAATATTATAATTTAAAATAGAAGAAGTGAATTTCAAGATAGAATTAATAAAGTTTAAGATTCTCATTAATTTTGATGAAACATGTTAACATCAACATTAACAATTATTTATAAATAGGATTAAAAGTAATATAGGTCAACCACGGTTAATTGAATTCCCACATGCCAAGAAAAGTAGTTAAGTGCTGCTTGAAATATCGAAGTTGTATGAAATTTAGTCTTAATATTACTCTCGCTAATTACACTAAATTCGCTATTATATTAATTTTTCCTCTATTTTTGTCACCCGCACTCCCTGCTATGCCTGTCATTATAGCGTACTTTACCGAAGAGTTTTTAATCATTAATATAAAGCATTTGACCTAATATTAATTTTTTATATATATATACATATATATATATATATATATTAATATTGTCCCTTATGTAAACTCATTATCTACGGGGGACAATGTAATATGAATTCTAAAAAAATTATTTAAATTTAAATAAGAATAAAATTAAAATTTATCATATTTTAATCAAAATTAATAATTTAATTACCAATCATTGATCCGAGAGTTGGATGTACCTTACAAATTATAATAGGATTAGAAGGAGTATAACACAATTTTTGAAAGTTTTTTTGTCCTTAA